TAACTTTTGAAAATGTTCCGGAAGATCTGACACTTTTATATATATCTTAAATTGAAGCTTATGTAATATACTTTAATTTGAAAAAAAAAAATTTCGGACTTTGTTTTATCTTCAGGGTGAAAATGGCTACCAAATGCTATTTTTTTGTGAAAATTACATTTTTAACTTTATTATGCTATAACTTTTTGAAAAATGTATGAATCATTACAATTTTTTTATGAGAAGTAGTATTTATATAGATCTTTCATTCGACATACTGTTTTTTTAAATCGGACCATTTCCCTAAATACAGGGGGGATTCAAAACATAAAAATGCATATAGAAAGTAGAACTTTTTCAACTTAACTTTTGAAAGTGTTCCGGAAGGTCTGACACTTTTATATATATCTTAAATTAAAGCTAATGTAATATACTTTATCATGGAAAAAAAAAATTTCGGACTTTATTTTATCTTCACGGTGAAAATGGCTACCAAATGCTATTATTGTGTGAAAATTCTCGATTTTATTTTTTACATTTTTAACTTTATAATGCTATAACATATTGAAAAGTGTATGGATCAACACAATTTTTTTATGAGAAATAATATTTTTTAATAATCCCTTTTTCATTCGACATACTTTATCTTAATCAGGATATTAATAAGGAACTAGCAGTTTATAAAGCTTTTGGAATAAACCACCAATTTTTTAAAATTAAACAGTATCTAAAGATTTGCATCGAAGCGTTTTTTTTTTATAGTGATTTTAATCACTGTCAGATATCATTACACTTGATCCAACTATGCCACGTCACCACTGTGCCGCGACCCCCCCTGTGCTAGGTCTTTTTTTTGTTTTCAATTTAAATAAAACCCAGCACAGGGGGGTCGTGGCACAGTGGTGACGTGGCATAGTTGGATCAAGTATAATGATATCTGACAGTGATTAAAATCACTATCATAAATAAACGCTTCGATGCAAATCTTTAGATAGTGTTTAATTTAAAAAAAATTGGTGTTTTATTCCAAAAGCTACTTGATCTGCTGGTTCCTTATTAATATCTCGATTAAGAGCCGATTTTATGATCTCAATTCAATTAATTGCTGGTACAAACATAATATAAAATGTGATATACTTATCTCAAACATAATTCCAACTCAGTTAGATCTCCCCAAATAAAATGAGTATCAAATATTACCATGAATTTGACTTTTTAAGGGCAAAAATGTGTCCTAAACAGTATTTTCAATAGCCCATTAAGTTAAAATTAAATCCTATTTTTTGGTTTACTTCGACTTTTTACTTAGAAAATAGGTCGTCGGTACCAATTTTTTTTTTGGATTTATAGTAGATAATGTAAGCTTTAATTTAACATATGTTTAAAGGACGATGTAGTTCCGGAACATTTTCAAAAAGTAAGTTGAAAAAGTTCTACTTTTAGCTTCGATGCGAAGCTGAAACGTCCCCTGTATAAGAAGAAATTACCCGATTTAAAAAAAAAGTATGTCGGATGAAAGGGGTATATATAATTATATATGTATTTAGAAAAAAAATTTGTGTTGATCTATACATTTTCCAAAAAGTTATAGCAATTTAAAGTTGAAAATTTAAAATTAAACATTTTAACACAAAAATAGAATTTTTTTTAACTACGATAGCCGTTTGCACGTAGAAGATAAGGCATCAAGTCGAATTTTTTTTTTTGTAATTTATAGTAAGTAACATAAGTTTTAGTTTGACATATGTTTAAAGGATAGAGTATTTCTGGAACATTTTCAAAATTTTCAAAAATTTAAGTTGAAAAAGTTGAGTTTGATAAAAAAGTTGCTATTTTGAATCTCCTCTTGTGGATAGGTAAAGGGTCATATTTTCAAAAATATTATAACAAAAAAAGGTAATTACTTAAAACTTCAATATAAAAAAGTTATGTTTATTCGTTCATTTTTCAAAAAATTGTAGCAGTTAAAAAAAAAAAATTGAAAAAAAAATCATAATCGTTATTTTTTGTGGGATTTGCGCCATTTACACGAAACGAGGGAAATTATTTCAATTTTCAAGGGCAGTGTCTTCAACTAGTTACGATTTGTGATATTTTGACGTATAATTAAAAGATATTGTGGCGGTCGAATATTCTAGAATGTCCGGCCGCCGCCGCCTCTAGAAGATTCGTCGCTCTACATAAGCGTGTGGCGGTCGAATGTCTAGAGAGTTCCGACGCCGCCTCTAGAAGATTCCTCTGACTATTTAAGGGCAAGATCGTCGCTCCAGTCAGTCAGTCGATCAGTCAATCACTTACGCATTCTGTCTTACACGCGCTTCGTTTCTCGCTGTTATTTATTAGTTCGTTGTAATACAGTTCGTCTCTCGCTGTTATTTGTTATTTGTTAGTTCGTTGTAATATAGTATAGTTGTTATTAAATCGTAAAAGTGTTTATTACTTCTATATATTACACCTCGCTACATTGGTGACCTCGACGATAACAAGTATGAACGCCGAAGAACTACGCAATCAATTGGAGGAGTTACGCCAAGAAAACGCTCGCCTTGCAGCACTACAGGCACAGCAATATCCAACAGCTTCAGTGAATCGCGTTGCCGTCAAGTTGCCACCTTTCTGGTCCGAAAGACCGAGCTTATGGTTCTCACAGGTTGACTCGCAGTTTGCAATCTCGGGAATAACAAGTGAGGAAACAAAATTTAATTATGTTGTGGCTCAGCTTGATACGCGTTACGCCGCCGAAGTAGAGGATATTATTACTAACCCACCGCCTACTGAACGCTATAAACATCTACGCGCAAAACTCGTTGAACGGTTGTCTATCTCAGAAGAACAACGTGTGCGGCAACTCATCAATCTAGAAGAACTAGGTGACCGTAAGCCATCACAGTTCTTACGACATATCCGTTCNTCCCAAAGCTGCCGACCTGCAAGCACCACTTCACGGTATTCTCAAAGGCCCGAAGACAAAAGGTTCCCAACCGATAGAATGGACTCCCGAGTTAGAAAAAGCGTTCACCACATGCAAAGAAAGTCTTGCGACCGCTACTCTTTTAGCACATCCTCATCCAGCCGCACGACTTGGACTATTCACAGACGCATCTAGCCAATCTATCGGCGCATGTCTGCAGCAGCGAGTCAATAACATCTGGCAACCCATAGCATTTTTTTCAAAGAAAATGTCGGTGAAACAAAGTGCGTGGCCTGCGTATTATCGTGAGTGCTTGCCATCTATGAATCGGTGAAGTATTTCAGGCACATTGTCGAAGCACAACTATGTACTATTTTCACCGATCATAAGCCACTCGTATATGCTTTCACCCAACGGAGAGAAAAGATACCTCCTACGCAACTCAACCAGTTGACATTCATATCCGAATTCACCACCGACATTCAACACATTAAAGGTGATGAAAATATCGTCGCGGATACAATGTCACGCATTGAAGTTGTGTCTCCCCCGCTGGACTACCGAGCTCTTGCTGCATCTCAAGACACGGATGATGAACTCAAACATTTTTCTGACAACAATTCATCTCTTCATTTGGAGAAGGTACTAGTGCCAGGATCTTCAATCTATATTTATTGCGACACGTCAACAGGACGCCCACGACCATTTTTGCCACAACGATTCCGGCGTCACGCATTTGATCAGTTACACAACCTTAGTCACCCCGGTGCACGCGCAACAGCTCACTTAGTTTCAGAACGATTTGTGTGGCCAGCAATGAAAAAGGATTGCCGTTCCTGGGCACGTGCCTGCGTCCACTGTCAGCGATCGAAAATAAGCCGACACGTCTCAGCCCCACTGGGAAACTTTGAAACACCTTCACGCCGATTCAAACATGTTCATGTCGATATCATCGGTCCATTGCCGCCATCACAGTCCTTCAGGTACTGTCTGACGGTAATCGATCGTTTCACCCGTTGGCCGGAGGTGTATCCACTCGAACGTATAACAGCAGACGATGTCACTAAGGGTTTCCTCAATTGCTGGATTTCACGCTTCGGAGTACCTCAATACGTTACGACTGACCGTGGTACTCAGTTTGTTTCAGCTACTTTAAAAACTTTAGCAAAACGTTTTGGTTTTACGCTTCGCCCCACTACCAGTTGGCATCCTGCTGCAAACGGATTCGTCGAACGAATGCACCGACAACTAAAGGCAGCCATCATGGCCCACGCAAAAGACTCGTGGACTGAGTCACTGCCTATCGTGCTTCTCGGAATACGTTCTGCGTTTAAGGAAGACTTAAAAGCCACGTCTGCGGAACTTGTTTATGGTGAGCCTCTTAATCTTCCTGGTGATTTCTTCACAGACAAGCAAGATAATAGCAGTACGAACGACCCTACTAGCTTACTAGATCGTCTTCGCAGTGTTATGAATAAAATTCGTCCAGTACCTGCATCTCGCCACTCAAATCCACGATCATTTGTTTTTGCGGACCTTAAGGACTGTTCACACGTATTTCTCAGGGAGGGAGGTGTCCGAGCAGCACTTCAACCGCCATATCAAGGTCCCTTCGAAGTAATTGCCCGAAATGACAAAACGTTCACAATAAAAGTTCGAAATCAATCAGTTACGGTGACGATTGATAGAGTAAAACCTGCCTACCTCATGGTGAACGAAAGCACAACCGTTAGCCAGGCACATGCTCCACCAGCAACTGCCCCGGATACGACCAAACAGAAACAACCGCCTAATACCGATCCATCAACACAGCCAGTACGAACAACTCGCTCAGGCCGCCGAGTCAGATTCCCGGACATTTTTGACCCTAGCTAACTCCACTCCGTAGGGGGGTGGTGTGGCGGTCGAATATTCTAGAATGTCCGGCCGCCGCCGCCTCTAGAAGATTCGTCGCTCTACATAAGCGTGTGGCGGTCGAATGTCTAGAGAGTTCCGACGCCGCCTCTAGAAGATTCCTCTGACTATTTAAGGGCAAGATCGTCGCTCCAGTCAATCAGTCGATCAGTCAATCACTTACGCATTCTGTCTTACACGCGCTTCGTTTCTCGCTGTTATTTATTAGTTCGTTGTAATACAGTTCGTCTCTCGCTGTTATTTGTTATTTGTTAGTTCGTTGTAATATAGTATAGTTGTTATTAAATCGTAAAAGTGTTTATTACTTCTATATATTACACCTCGCTACAATATCAGTCCAGTGAGAACTAAGAAAAAATGGCACCAGACAAAAAAAAAAACACATCATGATAAAATGAATACTTTCTCAGCTTCGCATCGAAGCTAAAACAATATTTAAAGCAAAACAACATACAATATTCATACAATAAATAAAATTAAGGAAAATAACTTGACGCAAAACAACGTAGTCTTACTCAACAAATTTTATAAAGATTTAATTATTAAATGTAATTGTAGTAGTAAAAATTGTAAAATCCGCTGTAGTATAAATGCCCTAAAAAAAAAAAATGTTTTTCTTGTACTACACTGTACTGAGATTGGCAACACATTTACATTTTGCTCATTTATCATAGTGTGCTATTTACTTTCATTTAATCTATGTCGTATCTTATCCGATTTATTTATTTTAAATTTTTATAGCAAAACTAGATTTAATTATTATCCTATTTAACGATTTCGTTAATTTTTTTGTAGTTTCAAGTTAAAATTTTATAAGTAGATATGAGCAGATACAAATCTCCTTTAACTTTCAAAAAGTCGTCAGCAACTGTTGAAAATTTTTCACAGTTTAAAGTTGATGAAGTCACTCCAACTAGAGACAGTACGGCTACAGTAAATACTCCTGATAATTTATGGATAAGTGACAATACTGCACAACCTCAACCTGTAAGCCGTCAGTGGAAAGGACGAGACTTTAGCTCACCTAGATTCAGTAGTCCTAGACTAAGAGATTCACCTTATCACTGGAGTCCTAATAACCGTAATAATAGTTGGAATTCGGACGTTAGTATTTTGTTGATGCAAACTAATAAATTGAAAATAATATATAAACATTTATTCTTTAGTTTAACAATTCAGATTTCAACTCCTCATTTGAACAAAATAATTTAAGTCCATATAACTCCCAAGTGAACAGACATCATAATCGAAATTATAAAGTAAGTTAAGAAAAATTTATTACATAACGTATTTATATTTTTAAAAATATATTAACAATTTTAATAGTAGGCCCTTGAATATTTTTTAAAATATGCTATGGTTTGATGAAATAATGATACTATGAAGCGTACCATTTTAATTTAAACTATTTTTATTAAATAAATTTGGTGTATAAATATCTTATAGTATAATTTTATTCATTTTTATTACTTATACATAGTGTTGTAAAATTACTATATTAATTTTTTTTGTGAATATTCTCAAGTCAAAAATTTTTTATCAAACTATTTTTATTACATTTTAAACTACTGTAAAATAGGCCTTAGATATAAAACCAAATATAAAACTGGTTACTTCCAAATATATCTCTTAAGCTTCAAATAACTTGATCAAATAAAATTTAAAATATAGTTACTTTGAATAAAAGTTAACCAATTATCCAATTTTATATTTTAAGGTTACAAACTTTTTAGAGTTAAATTTAGAAATAAACAAATTTATTCTTAATGGAAAACTTGAGCCTTTGTTTTGTTAAGAATCTTTCAACTGTGTTTATATTTAAATATATTTTCCCATCAACAATTTAAAATATTTCAAATAATATTCTTAAAGAAATCATTTAGTTTTATATTTCTTTTTAAATTGTATATTCTTCAGTAAATGGGTTGGCCTGTGTAGTTAGTAGAATGAATGTTTCAGCACACAAGATCCGATCCCTAGAGTGTCAACGAGATAAATAATATTATTTAGATAAAAATTGCTTATTCTAAACTATAATAAAAATTATTAATTATTATTATTAAAATTATTAAGTGGAAGGCAAAAGAAACAAGTGCTCAGAAAAAAAGTATAAATCAATTTTTTTTTTTTGTATAAGATCATTTGTTTAGAAATATTTTTATACCAGTTGATGTTATTTATTTGTATATAAATAAGGTATTTTATACCTAAAATTAAATAGATCCTGATGTTAATGATTTTATATAAAATATATCTTATTACTATAGTTATATATAACAAAATATAAATGATGTAATATTTTAATATAGTATATATTGATGTTGACAAAACTCTAGTGTTAAACCGTGCCTACTGCCGTAGGTGAACGGATGGGTAACCATGCGTGCTCTTCTACGGTGGCTAAAAAGCATCATGTTCCCAGTGCAAAAGGCGACGGAAACCACTGCACTTAATTTCCCCAGGATATACCATTGGGGTAAAACGACAAGGCAAAACCTTTAGTAGAAATATATTGTTGAGATTAGGAAGTTATTGTGAGTACTAAGAGTAGATTTTATATAGTTTTTAATGTATGTAAAATCTTTTATGGAAAGTATATTAAATTTATTTTTATAATAGGGGCACTAAATATGATTGTCCTAAGGTTTCAATAATAGTTAGCACTGTACTAGATATACCTTTTAGGGGTGTTCTCAGTTTTGCCTTAAGGGAAATTATGTGCGTAAAATATTTTTTCTTAAAATAATCTTTCTGATTTTTTCTTTATAGTCATTCATAAACTTATAAATAATGATATTTTTAAAATTATTTCAAATTTTGATTTAATAAGAAATAATTTTAAAAAATTTTGTATCCATTTTTTTTTATAAATTAAATATTATTACTTTGTATGAATATTTTGGTTATTTGAAAAAAAAAAAACAAATATTACTTACAGCACTATTCATTTTCAGAGAAATTCATATCAAGGTAATGACAACAAAGATGAAAATTATTACCACCCATCTATGATTGAAGATCCTTGGGAAAAATTATTAGATACTTCAAAAAAGAATAGTTTTTTGAATAACTGTCTTAGTGATTGTAATTAGTAGAAGTAATCCTTGTAAATTAAGAACACATGTAAAAATAATATGTATATTATTTATGAATTTAAATAAATTTAATTTCCTAAATTTCTGTTAATACTATTTTATCTTATCAGTTATAATCAATTATTATTAATATTTTTATGAATTAATAGTTCTTTAGGAGATAAGCTGCTTATTTCAGATTTTTTCAATTTTTACAGGAATAAACAATTAATTCTGAATAAATAATTTGATTCAGTTTATAAATTGAATTTTTAATCCAGTAAGAAGGGAATTGATTGAAATTTCTATTATACTACTATCAGTATAATACAATTAATTAATGGCTAGCTTATAATTTCTGGTTTCTGTCATGTTATGAAGTATTAGGCATTGCAATATATATGTGTATTCAGTAAGTAAAGAAATAGGTTTTTATTGTTCTCATAAATTGTAACATTGACCTGTTTCCTTACTTTTTGAACATCTGTATAAAGTAACACACTATATGTCAAAATATATTAAACAGACATTTAAAATAAAAAAAATTTTGATATCAATAACACAGTAATGGTATATAAAAATATTTCATTAAAAATAGGAATCATTATTTTTTAATTCAAAGTGTTTATACAATTAAAGTATAAATTCAAAAATAAATGAAGGAATATTTTAAAGTAGAATTAGTTAATTTTATTTACTATAAATCTATATATTAATATTTGTATTTATGAATATTATTTGTGCGTTATGAAAATTACAGACATGAGTACATGGAGAAATTTATCAATGTAACATAAATCTAATCAAAGTAATACTAGATAATTTATTTTAAAAAAAGAATAAAGAGTGGTTGAGTTAATAAAAAGATAAATCCTATGCTTCTATAAATAAGATTTAAAAAATATATAAGCTAAAATTTAGTTCAAAAAGTCTTATAATTAAGATAGTTATAAATATGTGTATGTATATCTGAGTTTTGAAAACATTTGTTAAGTAATTTAAAATAAATAACTAGTCTTTTAACAGAAAACATTTAGATAGTTTAAAGTTTGAAAATATAAATATCAAATAAAAAATAATAAGACATTTTAGGTTAAAAAAAAAAGTATACAACAACTAAAATGAAAACTAATAAAAAAGGTATGCTCTTAATGAAAATAGGTTTATATTGCACTTGAATACACATTGCTACTTTTTAAATTATATAAATAAATTAGGATGTGTTAGAACTATGCAGATTTACCTACCAGTCTTCTTCTTTACGTTTATTGTATTCTTCCAATTCTTTGAAAAACAACTTTCTAGATTTCATCATTTTAGAATTAGACCCCCTACATTTTGGACAGTACCATTTACCTTTGGGCTTTTTATTAAGAGATACACAGCTAAAATGAAACCATTCAATTGGACAAAGATCATTATCACAACAAACCATATGCCCAAAAGAAATCTGTTCACATATACAGTATGTAGGTTGTATTTCAGATTCACTACCAGAGCTTTCAGATATTTTTCTTTTACCTTTATTATTTTTCATTGATTTTTTCTTTTTCTTTTTAATTGTACTCGGACTATGAATTGTTTCCGTAACTCCAGAATCAATAGCAGGAATAATTTCATTGCTATTATTATTAATCTCAGGATTTTGACAATTTTTTATTTTTACAGTTTTTTCTTTTTCGATACAATGTTTATTAGAATAATTAATTTTCAAAACTTCATCAATTGAATCTGAATCAATTTCTTTATAATTAGGTACCCATTTCAACATTCTTTTAGGCAATTTTCTAGGTGAACATTGATATACTTGAGTCATTTCAAGATCTCTTAGATGTAAACCCAATTTAAACTTGTGATCATCAACTATGTAATACAACTGTTCAGAAATATCAACTTTTTGATCTGCTAATTCTAAGGAATTTCTTAAAATTTGTTTCATTATTCTTCCATTATAAGAATTTAAATGATTTCTATTTTTTACCAATTTAGTTAACTCATTTAAAATTTGTCTATGACGAAAATCTACATCATAATATCGGCTTATATGTTTTTGAGCTTCTGGTGGGAGTTTCTTAAGAATGTTCATACAACTACTCAAACAATGTTTAGCAGCAGATGGTATATTTTCAGTCATGGTAATTATGTTTTTAGTTAACAGAAAACCTAAGACATTAGATTTTTTTAATGTGCGAATCATAGTAACACTTTAAGTTATAAATTATTTATTTACATTAAAATATATTACTTATTTAGTCTAATTAAAAGCAAATAATTAGTAATACTGCTTTAATAATTTAAATATAGATTGAATAACTCTTTTCAAAAATCATTACAATATAATAATAAAATAATTTTTTATTTATTTTTATTAGACTACAGATTGTAAAAATATTTAAATAATTAAAAGGTACTTACTTAAATGTTAAAGTTGAGTGTATAATCGTCGATATTATTAATAATAATTAATCAAATCAAATGTATAACATTTATTAAAATTATAAAAATTTGGTTTTGGATTACTCTCAAATTTAAACAAAATATTTTAAATAAGTTTAATCTTAATCGCTTAAATAGAAAAATAATTACATTAAATTTAAATCATAACAGTGACAACAATCATGCCAACGTACATATAGATATTATATTGTTGAATTTGTAAAGAATAACCATATTATTAATAAAAAATGAAGATTTTATATTTTAAAAAATATTGGAATAATGTATACAAGACGGATTTACCACATTGCTTAGATAAATGAATAACACTTTTTATCGGACTAAGATTTAAGTATAGTTAAATACTTATCTGTACTAATCTTATATCTCAAATTAGTCCTCAGTTTTTATTTCTAATAATGATAGGGGATTATGTTTATTATATTGACAAAAGAAATATGTATTGTGAGAAGACCTAAGTGATAAGTTGATTTTTTTAAACTACTAAAAATAGACGAAATTGGAATTAGTTGTTTGGTTGTGTATTTTGACCTCTCTAAGCAATAATGACCTACATTATCTTTACCTAAGTGAAGCCATTGGTTTATGCGTACCTTATTTATTATCGGTACTTTTTAATTGTGTCATTTTCAAATTCATTTTAAAACGAATTTGATGTCGACGTCTTAACGTATTTAATAACTATTATACTAAGAGTGAAGAAGTGGTATCCTGGACGATGATCAGGTTATACATTTGTTTATAAATGTTAAAAAAATTAAAAGTAATAAAATAAAATAAACATTTTTAAAATTTATAAATTGTTTTAAATAATTATTTGTAAAAATTAATGATAAGTTTTTTTAAAGAGGGGTTCTTAGCGAAGAACTTCCTAACATTTCTTGTACACAATGTGTCTCAGATCTAATTTAAACGCTTATTACTTTTAGCACAAATGCAGTTAGCTTACATACAATTTTTTTCGATTTTTTTTATACATTGATTGCGAATATTCAAAACTAAACTGTCTGTCAGAATTAATTAAAAAGTTATAGCATTTTAACTTTGTATATATATTTGGTATCTGAGCGCCTATGTGGAGGTTCGGACTAGGACCACTGTAACTTTCAGTCCAACGAACTAAAATAGGGTTCAATTTGGGCTTGAATCGATCATCGTACTGACAGGCGTAAGACACTCCCAAATTCGACACATCAAAATTTTTATTTTTATGTCCATTTTAAAATAAAAAAAATTAATTATTTTTCTTATTAGTGATGGATAATAATAAAATATACGTTTTAAACCCAGTCTAAGAAGACAATAATTATTTCACAAAAATTTGTAACAATATAATAATTGTATCAGAAGTTTTAAGTATTGTTAATTAAACTTGAGCACTGGTATGTTTAATTGGATTCTATCGTATAAAGAAAGTAAACATTTTTTTTTCAAATCCTCCAAAATACAGTTTTGATTAAACGGTTATTGACTATGTATGTTTTTAAACCAGTATCATATGTTTATTAATAGTTTTATCTGAGTTCAAAATTATTTTTACTAAAAAATAAGATGATAAATATGGGTCACGTTTTTTTGTGATAAATTCAACAGATAGAATAAGAATAGGCATTTGGAATAACAGCGTTGAAACTTCTTGCATTATAATAACATTAATAAGATAAATTTAACTACTAACTTAATTATTTAAGACAAAAAAATGGTTTTTAAAACACAAATATACAGAGAGGAACAAATCTAACTGACAATTTTTACAATTTATAATCTTTATAACATTTTATACTTTTTTTTAATCAATGTTTACAGTGTAGAACTATATTTAAAATGTGATTTATGTTATTTTTCGCAATTACAAAAAATATTTTAATATTTAAATAACAAAACACATTTTAAATATAGTTTTATATTGTAAAAATTGATTAAAAAAATTAATACCTTCTCAGCTTCCCATCGAAGCTAAAAAAAAATATATATATATATATATATATATTATGTTGTGTAGATCATAAGTTATATAAGTTGTTAGTTAAATATGTTCTACTCATATAATCTGAACTACAAAATCGGTTCCAATTATTTAACCCCTAAGATAAAAATTTATTATTATCGTGTTTGAATTTTTTAAATAACATTTTCGCCCTCTTATCATCTTATACTAAGAATAAAACCAAGTGAATATGTAAAAAATGCCTTCCTTTTAAGGGCAGTCGCCGAGTAGTCCGTGTATATGCTGTATATAGAAATTCGTGATAGAGACATAAAAAAATATTTCAATTTTCATGCTAAATATAGCCAGTAAATATATACAGAGTGGTCATAAACCACTCGATTACTTGCAAAATAAATAAAATATTGAAAAAAAATGTTTGATTCCTTTTAGTTGCATATACTTCTTGATTAATCAGTTAATAATTAATTTTTAAACGGGTGTTAAAAAAATTTGTTTAAATGGCAACATACATATATAACTAGCTTACAAAATAGGAAATAATATAATTAAAAAAATTAATAGTCGATAACAACTTTTGTATCATTATATAAGATGTTATTAACAATTTAATGTAAAGACTGGAGGTGAAGAGTGGGTGCTGCTATTTTTATCACTAGTAATTTTCCAACAGTCTTAGTCCCATCCAATTATAAAAATTAGAATAACTTCCAAAGTACTAGTCCAAAAGTTATAGACCAGTCATTTTCTTAATTAGATTATTTCCTATTTTATAAGCTAATTAATTATGTATGTTACATTAAAAAAAAATTTTAACACCCTTATTAGTTATAAGGGATTATTTTAAAAATAATTAGCTCATAAATCAAAAAATGTATGTAGTTGAAAGAAATAAACTTTTTTTTTTCCAACATTGTATTTATTTTACGAGTAATTGAGTGGTTTATGTTAAAAAGATCATCTTGTATATACAAGTGGTGTTCAGTAAGTGAGGAAATATGTCATTGGTACAAACAATGAGAAAAATAGAAACCCGTTTTTCCTTACTTATTAAACAACCTACATAAAGTTTATATATATATTTCCTATTTTGATCATATATCTTATCTTAAAATATTCATGTATTGTTTAATTATATCAATAAAATGAGACTCATAAAAAACGCCGATAATGATGTCCCTGTATTGTAGCTTTTTGTAGTATCATAAAAAGTACTAAAATCCCACACAATATGAAAAGTTTTGGAGTCTTCTTCAACCCAATCGCAATTCCGCTTTGTCTTCAACTCATTTTATTAAATCAATTACAAATCAATCACTTTTGTTAAAACTTAATTTATTTTTTATTAAAATAAAAAGATTCTCAAAAGTGTCGATAACAAAGTTTTTAATTTAAAAAAATACGGGATTAATATTTTTGGACGTCGAGGTATAATTGTTGGATTCAGAGCTATTATAGTAAAATACAAAGTGAATTTACATTAGGTCTATTATTAGAATTAATAATTAGAGTAAAGAACAATAAAGAAATATGTTAAATACAATTACAAATTAATTTGTTATTAATTAGTTCATGCCTTATTAATAGACACTTTTTTATAGAATTTTTTTGTGGTTTCGATTTTGACGTTGCATCGATGTACTATTAAAGGTGTTTTCCAGTTACCTAGTTTATACACCTCAACAAAGAGAACAATTAATAAATTATTTTACATCTATTTGTCTTTATTGTTCTAAATCCTCGAACTTTACGACCCCAGTAAAAAAAACCCATCACGTACATATTTATTTTTTTATTTTACTTTTATTTTTACATTTTGTACATTAATATAGTGACACTCAACGGTAATGCTCGAACCCACGACCCCTAGATTAAGAGTTTCCTGCTCTCATCATTATAATTTATACATTTTTATTTAATTAAATACATTTTTTTCTTGCCATAAAATAATAATTATTTTTGTCCCGATTAAAATTATTTTAATCGGGACAAAGTTTATAAAATTATTATATTTATGTATTTGTCTATTTTTAATTTGACGATATCAAATAAAATCAATTTTATAAGCGTGACTATTTTTACTTGAGATATTTTTCTGATATTATTTCACGAGGAAAAAGAAGAAAATAACTACCAATTTACTTGAATTTTTTAATTTTTATTCAGATGTAAATTTACAATAAAATGACGGACTTAAAATATAAACACGATTATTTAAGATTACTTAAAAAATATTAAACTTGTATCTCAACTTGTTAGTATTCATTTCATGCATGAAGTCACATTTTAAAATCATTTAAATTTCAGAATTGATAATAATATTTTTACTAAATTTTTCGTCAGTTTGCTGATTGATAATAAACATTTGTTATTTCATATAAACTGTCTTCTATTAATATTTGAAAAAAAAAATTATTTTGTGAATAAAATAAAATTGTTTAATAATTTTAAATGTATAGAATAATTCAATATTGAGTCACAATTAATATGATTTTTATATTGTAAATGTAATTACATTTTTTGAATTCTTTAAAATGGAATAAAAAAGTTCATAGATTATATATATGTTTTTTTCGTTTAATCAATTCGGTTTGTAAGTATATGCTAAACATAATTTTAATTTTAGATTAAATTTTACCAAGAAGTGTATTTTTACAAATGCAGTCATGTTAAGTAACAATAGGTTGATAAAAAACAAAATTTTATGGTTGATAGTTATCTAGCAACTAAAATTATTTTATTTTAATAAAATAAAATTGTAATATATTCAATGCTACAATAGATTCTTTATTACATTCGTACTTCTACTTTATTAGGAACTACTATTTTTTTATAATTATCAAACATCAACAAAAATATTCAAAAAATATTACGCGAATAACTTATAATTTAAAACTAGTTTATGCAGTAAAAATTAAGTTATCATTAAAATATATTGGTAAATTATAGTTTTTTTTATAGAATTTAGTATTGCACAATAAAAATATAAATTAAAAAATAATAATAGATATAATAATAATTAATAATTTTTGTTTATGATTAATTAGCCTTATGGTAAAAATCTTACCATTAAACATTTTTTTGGCATTGATCTAGAAGTATGACAGTAAAATTTTAATTATATAAAAAATGTAAAGTTAAATTTTGATTAAAAAAATTAAATTGTGAAGTACCCATATATTTTTATTTAGATAATATTTTTTTAATATAATGACTGTTAATTAGACAAGTTTATTAGAATTAAATCAAAACTAATCAAAAAGACTTTCTTTATATTAGGAAATTTAATAAAATGCACACATTTCCCTATTATTTTTTAAATTTTCTTATAAAACGCAGTAAAATAAAAACATATTCATATTAATTTATACGATTTGTTTTTTCGGTGTTAGGTTGATCAGTATTTTAGGTGGGTCTCCTAGTCACCCACTTCACCAGAAACCAATGACTAGACTAAAAAAGTAAATCAATTAATATATCAGTTATTAGGCATACATTATTTTTATGGAGAATATATTTTCAAATTATTTTGATGTCTCTGCCCTTAGATCTACTAAAATTTAGAAATCATTATTCATTTCAAGAGGTATAGTAAAACAAAAAGGGTTTAGCACCCCCTTCAATAGAAGTATTTAAATTTTTTTGAAAATACGTCATTATTATTGATAAATGGTTCTTATATTTGAAGTAATAATTTTTTTAATAGAGTAACCAAAATATGTTTTTAAATTATATGTCTATAGTAGTTTTTGTTTAATATGAATTAGTTTAATTATGTGCATTAAATGAAATAATTTCAATCGTAGTGCTCACAAATTTATTTACTTTTAATTATATTTGTAGTTATATACTATAAAGTACGTAATTATCCATGAAAATGGATGAGAATTTCCATGTGTTAAAAGTTTTTATTGTTTGACTGTTTATGTTTTCTATAATCAATAATTATCATTTCATTAAATACTTCTATAAACAAATATTTTTAATTTATACAAATTTATAAATGTAATTATTTTTCATGAATTGCTTTATTAACTTTACGCTACTTATAATTAATTTTTATACGAATTTTTGCGTATGTTACATATTGAATTTGAAAAAATTGAATAAAAATTGATTATAAGTTAAGTAAACAATTTGTAATAATGATGCTAATCAATCATAAAATTAAATATAATGTAATTGATACAATCGTTTGAAAAAATTGATGTAGATCAAAAGTTATTTCACATGTCAGAAAATGCTGACTCTCAGTGTATATATTTTTTATTTATACATATGTAATGATTTATGCATTGCATTTAGTTTTGGCACGAGCATTGAGAGGTAAATGATTTAAACTTATGTAAATATCATTAGTCAACTTTCATAACATTCCCTATGCACAAGAATAATGATTAAACTAAAAATCAACTTTTCAATAGTGAAATTTAAAAATGAAAAAACCCATTACATCTTAATGTTTTTGCTTTCATACTTGCATAATATGAATGCCATACTTTTAAATTTATATGTTTTTCTACTTCTTTAATCATATTACATTAAATCAATACAATTTATGATATCAATTATTCTATTTGGGTCATTTTTTCGTGCATAGGCGATTCCACAAAAAAGTAAAATAATAATAAACTTAATAATAATAATAAAGTTAAATTAAAATGTTATAAAAAAAGTTTAATACATTGTTTATTTATTTTGAGCTTTTTTGTGATTATTTCTAATTTATTACACACAATTGAATAATACATTTTTTTTATATAATTTTACTCACAAAATATTAATTTAATCGGTTTAAACATATTATATCAGATAAATATAATAAAAATTTAAGAACTCATCTTATTTATTTTTTATTGTAATTTGATTACTAATTAAATATCTTGTATAACTATTGTTCAATGCAATAATGGTTGACTTTTCTGATTAATTAATAATTTGATAAAATATATAATCTAATAAGTGCTCTATTAAATCGACCATAATCTCATGAAAATCTTAAATTGACTAATAAATTAACGGATTTAAAAAAAAAATGAAATACTAGCCTAAACATTTTCAAAAAAAAAATTGTAATTTAATGAAATTAAATTTTTAACAAACAGAAATGGTTTTTTTTAAGGATAACAATTCTCTTTATTACAGGGTTGAGTTTGATTTGACTCGGAATGTTGATTTGACTTAAAAAAAAAAAAAAGGCTGGATTTTGTTTTATTTTTTTTATAATAATTGGTCAATAAACACTTATACTTAGAAATAATGTATTTTATAAAAAATATATTATCGCGTAACTTTAGTGATCATAAGTTATGAAAGCACACGTTTCTTGATTTGATTTCGGGCAATATAAACATAAAAAAATCAACATTTCTTCTACTTTCGTTAATCCAATAATCCTTCTCTCATACAGCATTTTTTAATATTTAAAGTTTATAAATGATGAAAAAACATTTACATGAGATTTTAAAATTCTATATAGGACATTCAATAAAATTTTATACTATATCAATTTTCTAAAAATATTTTCTGATTACTTTAATATCTTAACAACTATAAGAACACTTGTTAGTTGTCATTTTTATTTAATACACAATTTTTTAATATGTTATTTTTATAGCGAAAAACAAAAGAATGAGTACAGTCTATTTAGACAAATTTTAGTGACATAAATTTTTGGTCTCGTGACTTATAGTCTGTTGCAAGTATGACCGCAATTGTATTCAGTTCTTTATTCTCAATGATCATTTTATTTTGCTCATCAAAAAAATATTGTTCTACTTTATAAGCATCGCTATTAAAAAAAATAAGGTCCTGGACTTAATGTATACTACTTCATATTCAAAGTCGCCTCTAAAACTTACCGCCCGGCGTATAGGGTAAGAAGTACCTACCCCCTGATAGTAAGCGTTTTGTGGTTAGATCTATATATATTTTTATTGTTAAATAGAAGAATTCATATTATCCTACAACTTTTTTTTCATACAAACTCTTTGATAATCCTTCGAGATCATTTTAAATTGATATTTGCATTAGTAATTATAATATTATTGAATTAAAAATTAATAAATATACTATACACAAGTAAGTATTTACATTTTGAGTTATTCAACGATTTAAAAAATATATACATATAGAGAAATAAATACAAAATGATAAAAATTTTAATTCAAGTAACTCTTTCCGAGATGTTGAATTCTATTTTAAAAAGTAAATTATTTTTTGTTAATAATATATTGGAGGTCAAGAATATAATAATCCTAAAGAAATAAAACTGTGGGCATAATTATTTTAATTTGTATTGTATAGTAGTTTACATTATAACCCGACCATACTAAATAAATGATTAAAATTGAGCTAAACCATTTTAAAAAGCTTTTCTTGAAGTGTATAGTTGTACAGATTTTCACCGAGGTGTGTTTGTATTTGAAATTGACAAGTATTTTAGGAAAACTGTGAGTAATAATGTCGAAATTGGCATCTAAATTAGTAGTTCGTTGAGTGCTTTATCCGAGTCGGAGGCTATTGATATAGAGACAGTTGGTAATTGGAACCGTTTAATGTGCTTTTGTTGACCGCTCCCGTTGATTGTGTTGACACCAACAGTAAAGTTGTTGCCGACTCTAGACAGGGGCAGCGATAGTTGTGGGCCATTGGCCCAACCACTGTAATCGTACTGCGGTAAATAGTCAGCACTTCGAGCTTTCCGGATTGGCCTTACCGATATGCCGTTCCTGATATGAGCGTCCTGGTAGATTGGACTGATGTAAATGGCTGAGTTGATCCGAGATCGAGAGCGCAACAACTTTTGCACGCGCCAATCCAATTGGTCAGTTAGAACGCAGCGCATCAAGTGTCTCTGTGAAAAAAAAATGTTAACTGTTATCTATTTAAAGTTCTTTCTTATTTGGAAATTGTTTGATGGAATTTAGACTGTTTTGAGTAACAGTATGTTAAGGAATAGTAGCGTGGTAATGTGAGTAAACGCGAGAGATTTTGACCAACTGGTTATTTTATTACTCAAAGGCGCTATTATTGTACAAATTATTTGAAAGCAAAAAATTACATTTTTCAATGGCAGATGTTTTTGAAAATTTTTTAATTTACCACGAAACTGTTGATGAGTTATGATAAATATGATCTATATGATATACAGCATGATCCGTTTATCACAACCCACTTAATTGTTACAAAATTGAAATAATCTCTAGAATATATATATATATATATATTTTTAATTTTAACTGCTTTTTAATCAGATATTAATTACTATATTAGTTCATTCCTTGTTGTACCTTATGAGTATGTCAACATTATTATTTCTCATGAAAAAATACACATCTAACTTTATGAAAATACTTAAAAAACTTTTGGAGCAGTACTTCGGAAGTTACTTCCGAAGAACATTTTTCTACATGACGGGTAGTGAAGAGTGTCCGAGAAATTTCTATTGACAAAAATTGCTTTACTCGCACTACCCTCTAATTTATATTTTAAAATATTGATAACTTCCAAAATAATGGTCCAAAAGTTGTTATTGACCAGTCATATTTAGTTTAAATATTTTTTTTATTTTATATGCTAGTTACTCAAATGTATATTTTGTCATCTAAATAAAAAAAGCTAACGCTCTATTAAAGTAAAAAAGAAGAACGAAAAAAGCACTTAACAACTGACAAATCGATAAAAATACAATAATGCATGAACTAAAAAATGCAAAAATATATATATTCTCAAATTATTTAGTAAGTAATTGAGTGGGTCATGTTAATGGGATCGCTCTATATATTAATTATCAAGTAAAAATTGGGATGGACAACGTCGATTTAAGTACTAGTAATTTGAAGGCTACTATAGAATTGTTTTTAAGCGGTGCAATTACTTATGGATTAATCTTTCGTTACAAAGATATGCATTATTAAAATCAACAAAATTAAAAAATGCTTCGATACATTAATGTAACTTATATAAATATGAATAAATAACTTTTTTTATAATAGAACATCAACATGTTTTACAAAATACTAAAATTTGAAATTATAATTTTGACACATTATTTCACAGATTTTAATTATATTTGTATGTGAATAATATTATTTAAAAAGAAAAACAATTTGTAAAAACGCGTCATCCTACAAAAATAATATTCCTTAATTATATCAAATATTAGACGCTTTTAAAACACAATAGAGGTGGTGTATTACGAAATTTTACGAGTTGTTAAGGGAAAACGATAAATACCAAAAATGTCCCTAACATTTTAACACTTAGGGTACGCTTTGTCTACCTCTAAATAAGTCTCTGACGTAATATGAATTTAAATAAGGTTTTGACAAAGTTATTACTAATAAGATATCAGTAAAAAAAGTATCAGCAACGAATTTGGCTATATATTTAATTGTTGAGAAGCATAGTGTGTTGTTGGGCTAAGTATTACTAAAAAATAAATATTATTTTTAAATTCCTTAAATTTTTATTTGATCGGTGAGAAAATCGTGCGACAAAACACAGTGCAACATTGCATCTTATAATATGATATGTACATTAAAAATCTATAATATAAATATCAACTATGAGTTGCGAAAAATAAAAACTAAAGCAGCAAACCATTATTGCTTAAGTTATAATTATTATACATATTTGGTAAGGTCGATAAATACCATTTCTGTAAATATACTTAACGATTATTCGGACGACGGCGCCTTATGCAGCAAAGCGAACCGACACGTGCAGTCCCTGGGATGTACTTCGGGTGACGGAGGTGAATATTTGAAACAATGGTCCAAGATGCAGCAACTGCCTTGCTGTTGTTTGGTATGTAATAAAACAAAAAAATGAAGGGGAAATAGGAACACATTTTTTTAAAATATTCATGCACGGAAAATCCACCACTATTGTCTTCATAAGAGGCAGATTTCATGCACATTCTAATTTCTTTTAGTTAATTATTTGTCTTACGTTATTCATACATATATAAATATTATTAAAAGAAATCGAACTGTTAATTTCTATAAATCATAGATCATAGTGAATTTATTAATAATATAGTTATAAGTATTCAGTACTAGATCTACGTAGGCAAATGTACTAACTTTAAAATGAGGTAGATTCTTTGATTTTCTTTTTAGTTACCCTTAAAACTAAGATATTTTTCACTCTCGATAAAAATATGATTTATAAATCACGAGTTTAAATTTAAATTTTAGTCACCAGGTAGATTATTTGGGTTATCTAATTGCAAAAGAGCGAATGGTTAATTCTTTTTCGTTTGTAGTTTCATCAGACTTTTGTTAAATTTAAATTCCGTTTATTTCTACAATGGAAATAGTTTCAGGTTATAGAATGAAATTTGTAGAATATTTAAATATACTTTTGGCTGTTAATAATTACTAATGAATCGTACAGAAATTATTATAACGTAAAATATAGATTTTATAGAAATTTATGTAGAAGAAACAATTTTCTTAAAGTGTAGATATGATGATAGTACTTTTCGATTAGTGATATTATTACCAAAGACACGAGTTTAATTATTTTTACCATAGACGCAATCTAAAGAAGGTTTAGATCCTTAATTCCTTAATTCTGTCGTAGCCCTCCAAAAATGATGAAAATTAAATGTAAATTTGTATCAAAATATTCTTAATGAGGTAACAAATTAAGTTTTATAGAAGTTTATATAATTGTAAATCATAAATTATACATGTTTTTCATCATATTAGAACAATATGATTAAAAATAAATTTTATCATGTCACTATGATTAATATCAAGAGTTAGATTTAATTTAATATTTAGAATCTTCAGTATATTTAGTCTGTAAAAATATTTGATATCATTTTTTGACATTTTTAATAACTTTTGATTCAGAGAATATTTTGTATTACTTATAATACAATAATTTTATAAAATTAATAATTTTTATAGTTTTGGACTATGTTAAAAGCATATATTTATTATTGTCCCCAATAAGAAAATTTAAAATAATTGTTTTTATGATTTAATATTATCAAAGTTTTAAGATGGATGTTTTGTAATTTTTTTTTACTAAAAATTTTAATGGATCGATAACAACTTAAGTTTATACTAGGAATATATGCAAATATACATAATTAATATTGAAAGAACAGAACTGTAAGGGAATATGTTCACACTTGAATAAACAAGACGAAAATTAATTTATAGAACCTACAGACTATGGATTTATTTTAAATAAAATAATTGATTTAACAATCGACACATTTTATATATTAAAATTATATTTATATTAAAATAAAGAACCATACAGAAAAATCAAATAATTGGTCGGTTGTTAAAATAACTTAAATATCTTCAAGAATAATTAAAATTCTGAAAATTTTGAATATATATTTATTTTTAAACACATGAACAACAGTTTTACTTTATAATTTAACACACCATTCACATTAAATAAAGTTTTTGTATTAATGACAATTGAAGTGTGTTAACAATATGCTGTTTCAAACTTTGGTTTTCTGATGATTATGTCTTTTCGATAGTATAATATTTTTATTTGTTTCCAGTGTGTAGATGACAGACTTCCGGAATTGCATATGCACTCATTGTCTCCTTACTTATGTTATTAACACGATCAATAATATCTGATTTAATAAAATTTCGTTGTACAGAAAAACGAAACTTGCATATTATATTTAAAAAAACGGTTACATAGTGGGGCCGCAGCACAGTGTGGAGTGGCTTAGTTGAGACAAATATAGATGATCTTTGATAGTGATTAAAATCACTATCATAATAATCGCATCAATGCAAAACTGTAAATAATTTTTAATTTTAAGAAATTGGTGGATTATTCCAAAAGCAAAATCAGCTCATATTTCCTTCATTATTTCTTATTGACATTTCTATGATTTATAAGTATAATATATAAAAAAATATCTATTATAGCAATTCAACGTAGTATGAAATTGATATTCAATAATTTAGTATTTTAATTTTTACGGAGAAATTATAAAATTATAGAGTGGTTGTTACTTCTATGGAAAACGCGTATAAAAATTGAAGGGCTTGATACAAAACTTTTCATTTATTGTTAATTATGAATAAATGGTCTACAAGGAATTTTTATCAGAGTCAAAATTATACTTTTCTAAACCCACTTTTTTAGTTGATTTTAAATCTGCAATTAGATTTTTTCCATCATCACAATCTCAAATTTTTTTATATTATTATTAACTTGTTTAACACGAGTATTAAAATATAAAAACAGTTAAAAGTTATTACCATGACTTTTAGCTCAACTTGCAAGTTTGAAATTGACATCATTAAGTATAAAATTTTATGAGAATAAAAAAATGGTATTGTTAAGATTAATATGCGGTCAGGAATTTTTATAATTACTATTTATAGTAAATTTATTACTAAATCTCAATATTATTTTGTATTTTTATTGTAATAGGTCACTTAAATAGAAATCATAGTAATCATTTCTAAGTAACTTTTGGTGTTTAAAAAGATTCTACAGTTGAAATATTCAGAAATTAATGATTTACTTTAACTAAAAAGAAACAATTAAAAAGTATTTAAAAAGATTTACTCAATTGAGCTTATAATAAAAATTGATTGTAATTCTAATAATTCATTGTTAAATTCAGGTTAAACTAAAAATAATTTTTTTTTAGAAATTATTGAGATATAGACGTAACGTCTATATATAAATATATATAATTTAATTTATATATTTTTTTTTTTTAAATTTTAAAAAATTTTAAACTATAATTTTGATAGTAATATTAAAGAAATTATAGAACCAGAACTTTAGAAGATATTTTTTGTAGAAAATAATTTAAATATAGTACAACCCAAAGATGACTTTAAAGTATTCCTCGAGTTAACTTTAATTTTTTTCGGTGTAAAGAGTCAACATAATCCATTTTTCATAAGCCAGGTGTTATTCATCATGTTTGATGGATGGCCAAGGCCATTTATAGACTCAAAATATATATATTTAGAGAGAAATTTTAACTTACACTAGCAGAAAAACACAAGGATTACGCGATGTTGTTTGATTTTGGTACTAGTTTATATTGAATCATGGTTTACAGCAACTTCGGTGGTTGCAGCACCATATAATGATTTGAATTTTGTTAAAAAATTATACAATTATAGATTAATAGACAGTGAAATATCACGCATTGCTAAAGTTGTAAATCACTTATTGTACTTACGAATTAAGTCCACAATCCATATGGTTGGAATTTTTTGATAATAAAATAGATGTTAATATTAAAAGAAAAATGATCGCTCAACTTAATTCAACGTCAAGTCAGACAACAAAATGTCTGAAATTAAACCAATCCGATATAGCCGATTTTGTAAAAAAGGATATTGATTATTTTGTATCCAAAAAACTTAAAATTTTTTAAAACTATTTAATCTGAACACTGATTTTTTGAAAATTGATCCATCATTTTAGAGTGCCAACAATAGTTACATAAATGCTTTAAATACTATAAGCAAATTACGAGTCGTTTATAATACAGCTGAGCGTGGTATTAAATTAATCGAAGACTCCAACAATATATTAACTACAAATGAAGAACAGAAACAATACGTATTACACATAGTAAGTGATTATCCGGAAAATTTCCTAATTATAAAAAAAGTACATTAACAAAAAATATTTTGTAATTTAATTTTAATAACAAATCTAGTATAATTATCGTACTTGGCATAAAAAATTAAACTTTTAGAATTTTTTTTTTAACGAATTAGCGTTTTCCAAAGAATAAAATGAAAATAAATAAGTAAAAATAAACAAAGTCAGTTATAACATAATTTTAAGACTTTTACATGTTTTTTACTGAATGTAGTGTTTTTGTGGGCTATTTATTAAGAAAACAACATTGAAGTTATTATATTTGAATTTCTTGTAAAATTTTCTTTATTTGAGTTTTATTTTCATAATTCTAAGTTAATTAAAAAAAAAGTTATGAGACATAGATCAGTTATTTCTATGAAATTTGCCTCTTCAACTCAACTTAACCTTAACGGATCGTTTCCAACATTTGTACAGCTCATTTTTTTGACCATTAAAATAAATTAAGGGGTAGCGTAAAAAGAAAGAGCCACTTTTTGATAGCTACTCAAATGCATACATAGGAAATTATAAATTGATAAAGAGTAATATTTAGGGATATAAAATGGTAGAAAAAGATAATATAATGTATGTAATACTTTGGGTAGATTATATAATTATTATAAGCATTACTTTCATTATAATCAGTTATTTTATGCTAATAATTTAATAGCCATACTCCAAAAATATACCGGAAATAACTTCAATAACCAATGTATATTACATATATTGTTGGGTAACGTTACCCTTACATAAGCCTTTGAATGAGGTCTCTTATATGTTTGATGATTGTATATTTTTTATATCCTACTATTTAAATTATTTTTAAAAATCAAAACATACTTAGTAAAATTATTTATTTTAAACATATTTTGATGGCATATTTGAAGGTAAATATAATAAAAATTGATCATTTTTAAAAAGAAGTAATTGTTTAAAATTGAATATTCAAGTAAAATATTTGTAAATAAATTACAATAATTACAAAGAGAGGAAATAGAAATGTTTAAAAATAAGAATAATTTAATTAAAAGTGATCTGAAAAATATATTATTAAACTTGTGTAAACTGACAAAATGTGACAATAAAAAAGGTGATAAAATCAATTACTGATAACGTAACTAGAGGTTTAGAAGAGAATATATTTCGGTCGGGTTGTCAGTATATCTTTAATGCTAATGATGGTAACGTTGTTCATAAAATCAGTGTACTCACTTTTTTTTTATGCTGAGTGACCACCATTTACTGACAACTTTTGATAACTTTTGATCTAGTTAATATTTTTTACTGATTTTTTTTTTTTTAATAACAGTTATACGTTAGGTCTATAATTGTATAACAATAATTTGTATTTTTACATTTTATTAAAAATAATAATTATTTTTTAATTTTAAGTAAAATGTAAATAAAAATCCAAGATAGCTATTTTGTAGAGTAGTTTTTAAGAAAAATTTCGATAAAAAAATATCTTATTAATATTTAGTCGTAAATAGTCTGTATCGTTTTTAAGTTTGTGAAAATTTGAATTTACATGTGTTATTTTGCGGTATTAAACATTGAAAATAATACGTGTTATTATACAAATACGTGTTGAGACATGGACAGAAGAAAAGTAAGATAATTAGTTTTATCTCTTTAGAGATATTATTAAATAATAGATATTGTTCGTGTTTTTATTTGAACTAAAGCCAGTCATTGGGATGTTAATAATATTCATGGAAAAATCCATACACATATCATATTTAGTGTGAAAAGATGGGTGTTTATTTCTGTCCTTTTTTATGTAATATAGCCAGCGTTTGATATCGTAGACTAAATACAGAAAAATTCAAATATTTACGAAATTTAAAATGTTACAGAAAATTGACTACCAAACATTATGAGAATTTTGTTTACCAAATTATTTTTTTAGCTCTATTCTAAGAAATGACTATTTTTAATTTTTTTAAACATTTTTCGTAAATTTGTTTAAATTTAATTATAAAAATAATATTGACTAAATTATTATTATAGCACTCAATTATATTAACTATTAAAAAAAAAAAATTAACTGAATCAAAAGTTATGTAAGATGTCAGTGAATGCTGGGCCACCTATATAATAATTATGTAGCATTTTGAGTTAAAATTTTTATTAGATTTAAATTAATATTTATAAATTAGATTTTAAATGAAGGGAAATAGTTAAAAAAATATTCTTTTGAAGTGAACTAACAGTAAATAATCGACCCAGTAAATAAATGCGTGCATTTTTAAATTATTTACTCTTTTAGTAATTTATTGTGATGTTTTTAAAACTAATAATACTTAAAAAAATAATGTTTTAAAAATAAATAAAGTGGAAAATATAAATTAATATAAAAAACAGACATATTATACTTTTTTGCAAAGCAGAATTTAATTGTTTAACAGCTTAGTAATAAGTTATTTAAGTATAAGGTTTCACTACTATAAAGAGTAAAAATGCATTTAAATAATTTTATTGTCGTTATTACCGTGTTTTTTTTATTTCTTCCACATAACTTTGTTTTATCTGATAGCTCAATAAAAGTTACAAATCTTAATAATATCGCTGAACAACTTTATGTAAACGATTTTAACTACATTGTAATTTTAAAAGATAAAATTGAATATTATTTTGAGGATCTTTTTCATAAAGATTTATATAAAAAATATATTGTAGTTTTAAGAAGTCCTATTGAAGAAATAGAAGTAAATGAAGAAGAAAAAAAGGAATTCAAAACTTACGGCAAAAAAATTGTAACACGTTATTTGGGACTAAATGATTATAATTTCTTAGAAAAACGAGAGATGATAACTAGTTTTCTGAAGTGTAAATACCTCGAACAAATCAGATTAATCAATCGTCTCTTGATATTCTTAATTAATGAATATTTTAATAGTGAATTGAATAATTTTGGAAATATGATACAAATCCGTGAATTATTAAAGGAAAAAAATGAAAGTTTACTTAAATTTATATCTAATTTGATTGATAATTATAAATTCTTATCACGTGAATTCGGAATGGTTATAAATAATTTCATGAAATTAATAGATAATGTGATTAACAATCATGTATTTAACGAAAATATAATGAAGTATAAAAATTCTATAGGTAATTTGTTTGTTAACAGGCTCCAACCTGCCAGAAAAAATTGCAAATTTTTAAAAATGATGCCTACTGAATCAAATTATAAAAAAGAATTTAAAAGTCTAAATCGTCAACCTAATGAATATGCTATCTTTTTGGGTGAAAAGATAGATTCAGTTATAAAAGATTCTTTGAAATATAATTTTTATTTAACTAGAGGAAATGAAAATATAATTTCCTATTCAAGAGAATGTAACACTATTTTAAAATTATAACTTTAGTACGTATATTAAAATATTTTTTAGTCGCTTTTTTATTTATACTCAATTAATTTTATGTGATTAAAGATCTTTTTTGAATATCTAAAATGTCAAAATTAATAGTTATAATTATGTTTCTTTTTATAATTACTTTATGTTGGTGTACAAATTTATTTTTTATTTACCTTGTCATATACTTAACACATAATAAATACTTCCATATAAAAGTCATATGTGTATGTAAAACATATTATCAAATAAATAAAGCAAAAAAATAAAAATTTATTGTTAATAATATTGATAGTTGGGCAAGAGCGGCATAAGATGACCTTTTATTAAAAAAAAAAAATTTAGTATGTTTGCGAATTTTTTAAATAATTTATTGACTACACAATGACAAATTTTTGGAAAATAATTTAAATAAACACATATGTCCATGTGTTTTTAATTCACTCATACATTTTTTGTAAAAAATATAATATTGTAGTTTTAGGTCGTAAGGTTTTGACTTGAACGTGAATAAATTCATAAAAAAAATGTTATATTGTTGTAGTTGAGAAAATATATCACGAATAAAATGTATTTGAAATTTAAAGTCTCATTCGACAAGAAAAGTAAGATAGGATATTAAAATAAAATTGAAATTAGACGTGTTATTTTTTTTTCGTTTATTGTATATGAAATTTCTTTACATAAAATAATTTGCTTGTAATAAGTTGAACTAACTTAGTGTTAAGGGTCGTTTAATACCTAGGTATTAATATCTTGATTAAAACCAAGAATTGGAAGCCACTGAACGTCTGCCCAAATATTGTCCCTATCCTTTTAAATGATCTTTAATTATCTGAAAGAGACACACACAATCTTGTGTCTATGTTACCAGTGAGAGATTATGCAATAAAGTTTGACTATTGTTTATGTAAATGACAAAGTAAAGTTATATTTTAAATGTTTAGTAAATATAAGTTATGTATAATATACAATACGTTTGATATGAATTCTAGTACAGTTGGTTAGTAGGTTATCTAAGTGAGACTGATAATCATCTATGACTTGGTCATAGATGAGTCTTTAAAAAATTAAGTTAAGTTATTGACAAAATGAATAAGACAAAAGTGATCGAGAACTACTTAGGCCATTTAAATACATCTGCACTTTGTTAGTTCAACAATGTAGTTGTATATATTGTTATCTATGGTAAAAGTATATCAAAATTATAAGTATGTATTTACCAAAAAAAAAAAAAAAGTTTAATTATCTTGACCCTCATTAATTAATAATTTCATTTATGAAATTAAAATTTTAATTTTTCATATGCTATTGGAAGTTAGAACATTTTTCTTGGAAATATGAAAGAAGTCTTTTCCTTTAAATATGCTTAATGGATTAACATTAAAAGCTGCAATAATATTTTTAAGTAACACTTAAAATATTTTTTAAAAAGTCAAAAATGTCGTGCAAAAGTTTCTATTTTAAATCTTTCTGTAAAGAGTCAAATAAAAAAAATTAATATACTTAATGAAAAGGAAATAATTAAATTACATATGAAAAAAAATTGTTGCATCTGTTTTTAAAATAGCTATAACAGATTTAAGTAAAAAATTTTTTTAACAGAATTCTTAGGAAACTGAAGAAATTACATTTTTTTAATGAGAAATATTTCGTACAAATAATTGTTCATTCCCATATTAATACTCTAAATTTTTAAATACGTTTAGTAAAAATAATAATAAAATTAAAAGTATAAAATATTAAATTATAATGAGCTATTACATGAAACATTTTCTTATATTGAATAGAGCTCGTCAGAAATATTTAAATAATCAAAAAAAAAATTTTTATATAAATGTTTACAAAAATTATTTTTATGTCTAAATAACACAGATACGACATATTTCTAATAACATTTTTTATAGTAAATGTTTAATTGTACATTTTTTTTTTTTAAACAGCATAGTTTTTAGGATAATCCACTAAAACTGAAAAACTATCTCTAAAGTTCAACATTCAACCCTATGCGGTACACGTTAAAATGACTCAATTTCACACAACTTATTTTTTATATAATGGAATAATTTTAGTAAACGTATAATTTCCAAAAAAAAAAAAGTTGACTTATATAGCACAGAATCGCTTTATGTCTGTGATTCTTGTGTCCATCCTTTGAGTGTGCATCGTTTCAACTGAATGTCTTCAATAGTTAATAGATACTTATTTGATCATTTAATAACAATTGTTTTTTGATTTATTGTGTTATGTAGAATTATTTCATAAATATAATCCCCTGTTTATTTTAACAATTCTCATTGATTAAAAATTTTATGTTTGTTTTGTTCACATTCAAATTGTACCAAAGAAAAATGCTGTTTTATTACATTAATTAATTAATGAAGCTTTAAACAATTATATCTAATTTGTCTTTTAGAATAACTATAGAGAAAATTCATAAGACTATTTTGTTTAATTTATAGCTACTTTAAATGTTATTTTATAATATCTAATTTTAGAACTTTGATTTTTTAATTTCTGTTTTTAAATAGTTACAATCAAGTTATAAACATGTCAACCTTAGTGCCGACATAATTTTAGTCATAAAAAATACTTTTAGAATAAATTGAATGTTTATATTGTCTTTTCTTTTAAGTTAGGAAGTATTGGAAATGTTAAATAAACGCCCTTAAAAAAAATTAATTAACACTGCAAAGTTTAATAATTATCATAAATAATTTGTAGTTGTAGAGCTATACATATTTTATAAGGAGTATAAAGTTCTTTAGTCTCTTCTGAATTTGCGTCTATGAGCACATGTTTTTTTTACTCTTAAATCACATGTAAAATTTTTTAAATATATGATTTTTTTACATATTTAACTATAATGTTAACATTTAAAATACACAATTAATCAAGTTTATGTAAAACACAACGGTACTACACATTTTTTTATCGTTTCAGTCAAGAATAGAATTTACTCATTGATGTTAATAAAACAATGTCGCTACGAATATTTGTGCAAAAAGTTAAATATTCGTTTTAAATAAACAAAATATTAAATTGTTCTATAATGTCAAACGTTTGTACGTAGGAAGTATATATAAAATTAATTTTCAACTTTTGGAACTATGATTGATTTTTGTATATTTCACATAAAGCAATTTTGCGTATATTGTTTATTTAGTTATTGTTTTTAATATTCCATTTTCACATAGTTGATAATATTTTCTGTCATGTTCATGTCAAGGTAAAATAGAACAATATTGATCATATAATTGTATAAATATGAATGAACAATCTATAACTGCAAGTTACTAATTACCAACAGGTTATTCTTAATTTTACAAAAATTCCTTATTGTGAAATAACTAGAAAAAAACAATGATTTTGGTGCTTTTTTTATCTTATGGTTTGAAGACAAATGAAATTGAACTAACAACTGTTATTTATTATAATTTTTAAAAAGTATTTATTAGTGAATATACTCTATTATGCATGGATTGATAGACTTTTTAGGCAAATGGAATATCATAGATAGTTGAAATCCTATTGTAACGAATATAATCATATTTTATATATGCAATTTGAAATAAATTTTACATAAAAATGTATGACCCACTTAATTCGTAATAAAATGTTGAGTGTATATTAGACATTTTTGTAAACGTAATCACTTATTTTTACATTCAAGTCCTAATTTAGTTCTTATGTGATTAATTTTAATCTGAGTGAAAATATAAGTAAAATTTAAGCATAAGCATTGCCAATATTATGTGTAAAAAATTCATTATAATCAAAAATATTATTTGAATGTATTAATATACTCAATGATTAACTCAAAATTGTAGATTAAAAAAAAACCAGCAAAGTGGGGTCTTGGCATAGTTGGGTCCAGTATAGATGATATCTGACAGTTATTAAAATCACTATCATAAAAAACGCTTCGATGCAAATCTGTAGATAGTGTTTAATTAAAAAAAAAAAAAATTTTTCAAAAACGAAAAGGGAGACTACAGTAATGGGACCCTTGATATTTATTGAGGTTATTGAATCTAAATGAGATAAAAAACAAATGAGTTTAACATTTTTTTCTAACTCAAAAAGAATTAAGAAAAAATTCAGTGCCACAGACGTGAAAGACCCAAGTGTTACCGTCTTAGAAACCGTACGTCTCATTCGTCACTTAATAAAAATGGAAATTTAGCTAGTTCAAATTTTAAAGTTATTTTTCTCGGCTTCAAAGAAACAAAAAAATTTAAATATGTTTAATATTTTATACTATGTCAATTAGATTGATATAATATTTATGAAAATCAGTGTAATCCCCTTATAATAAAATAAAATACAAAACCAAGAATTTTAACACAAAAATAGCATATTTTTGAATACGGTAGCTATTTTCACCATGAAGACAAAATAAAGTCCAACATTTTTTTTTTTATATTAAAGTATATTACATAAGCTTTAATTTAAAATATATATAAAAGTGTCAAACTTTCTGGAAAACTTTCAAAAATTAAGTTGAAAAAGTTCTACTTTCTATATGCATTTTTATGTTTTGAACCCCCCCTGTATTAAGGGAAATGGTCCGATTTAAAAAAAAAGTATGTTGATTTGTTCATTTTTGAAAAAGTTATGGCAGTTTTAAGTAAAAAAAATTGAAAAAATTCTGAAAATTAGCGATTTTTAAATTTGTAATTTTTTTGGAGGTTTCCCCTATTTACGGGGAACGAGGGAAATTTTTTCAATTTTTGAGGATAATGTCTTCGACTAGATACGATTTGTGATATTTTGACGTATCGTTGAAAGAAATCCGTTCAGTGAGAGCTGATAAAAAGTGGTAACAGACATAAAAAAAAAAAAAACACATCATAGTAAAATTAATACCTCATCAGCTTCGCATCGAAGCTAAAAAATTATATCGTATATTTATATTTCTAACATATTAAAAAAAAACTGATTACAAAGTTATTATATTACATAAAAAAAATCAAAAATTTTAATTTTAATGTTTGATTATAAATGAATTTAGGAGAACTTAAAACATAGGTATAATTAGGGAAACCTAATTATACCTATGTTAGATTATATTAGTAATCAATTATCCTTTAGTACAAATAAAAATAAAATAATTGTCCAGGTATATATTAAAAACGTTGTAACTCATTCAGAATATAAATATTCCAACGGGAACATTTTTTTATGTAACGATTTACATCATTTAATTACGATTTAGTCTATAGACAAGAAGCCAGAAAAATGTAATCGACCTATCAAAATTGTTTGCCAGAAAAAAGTTAAATAATGGCTATTTGGAAATGTTGAAAAACNGTAACGATTTACATCATTTAATTACGATTTAGTCTATAGACAAGAAGCCAGAAAAATGTAATCGACCTATCAAAATTGTTTGCAAGAAAAAAGTTAAATAATGGCTATTTGGAAATGTTGAAAAACCTAAAGAAATTGTATGTTTTTCTTACTAACGACAAATAATTAAAAATATGTTTTGAACGTAGTATAAGATGGCAATAATTATAAAAACATAGGTTTTTAACAAAATGGTAACTGAATCAAAAGTTATTTTGGATTTATCATATCTTTGTGACTCACTCTGTATATAAATATCATAAGTGTGAATACTATTTATTTTCGCATAATAAATACCACAATTCTTGTTTCTCTGGTGACTAATAATATATACAGCGAGTATAATTTAAACTCATGACACCGTACAAAAGGAGACCCGCATATTGTTTGTGTTTGCATACACAATTATGATCATTATGTTGACAAATTGAATAAAAGATAAATAAAAACGGGGAAATTCATTTATCACACTTATACGTGCATCAAACAATCCAGAAAACAAGGAACGTTTACTGCTGGAATAACAATATCCAAGACAGTTATAATATGGTTAGATTGGTCAATCATCACTCACCTGAGAACAGCAAAAACCGGTACCCGTTTGATTTTGGCACGAGGTAGTTGTATTGCAAGCTCCCGTTCCTGGAACTTTAAGTTGTGTATCCTTATAATCGGGTTGGTATGGTATGAGCATTCTGATTTTACCCCACCGGTTGAAGAACATAATAATTGCACCTACCCATACCATTAAAACTAACACCACTATAGTAATTTCAATACCTCGTACCTGTAATTAAAATTTTTTTTATAATCATTTTCTCCTATCAATATATTAAAATAATATTAAGAAATAATATTAAAATTGTTTGATTTTGTTATTATTGGTTAGGTTGTGAGAGAGAGAGGAACAGCGAATTCAATTAATTCTATAGCCAATAAGTTAAAACCTTCGTGGCAGAGTATGAAACGAGTAACGGTGCGTGTCCAGCACTTTCGTTTTATAGACTAGACCTGTCTATCTCTATTTAAAATAATTAATGTCGATAAACTTTTATCTGTTATAGGATCTAAATGATTGTAATTTCTTAATTTTCTTAGATGTATCATGAGATATTTATTTATAAAATTATATGTAGTGATTTCATCTTCTAGATAAACATTAGTTATAAAACTGATAAGATTCTTGGTAATAAAACACTTTTTAAAGTATTAAACTATGCAAAATAAATTTTAATCTACAATTATTTCGATTGAAAATTTTTAGTATTTTTAATATGCATCATCTGCATTATAGATGATGTATTCTTTGTAGATTGTAATCTATTTAAATTAATATATTGTAATTACTTTTGGAAGTAAGTAATCATTTTTTTACGAATAAACAAGTTAATGTTGAGTGATTAAAATCAAAAAAGTTATTTTAGTAAAATATTTTATTAAATACAGAGTAATCGATTTATCATATCTCACTGAATTACTTGCAAAATAAATTAAATATTGAAAAAAAATGTTTTTTGTTTCTTTTCTTATGCTTATGTGCAATTTCTTACCGTAATAAAAAAAAATATATGCACGGTTCTCTGTACCGACCATAGTTAAAATGTTTTCCGTTCAACAACCGTATAAAAAAAAAAAACAAGTTTTTCCATACAAATATAGGATGCAAATAAAAATATGGTCTGAGTGCATAAGATGGCCTATGTTTAAAATCTCACAGTTATGAAAAAATTATATGCACAGTTCTAATTACAGATCACAGTTAAAATGTTCTTCATTCACTGAGGGTGGTAAAGAACAAGTTATTACTGTGTATCAGGTCGTTTACACGTTTGGGTTTTTCCATTTTTAAATTCATGACCAACCCGCCATGCAGATCATAGTGATAGCCGCTGTTACCATATATCACATGTTTTACTCACACTAATTTTACTATAATATTCTAAAACTTATAATTTTAATCGTTTTTTAGAAATGTTTACATTCAATTTAAACATATATCTGCTAATTATGAATCTAATGATTAATTCAGCCATTATAATTTTTTATCACGTAAGTAATTTGTATTAATTTTACTTACTAAAGTATTTGTACAATAATTTACAGTCGTAGGTACATTATATACAAGAGTTCATTTATTTTTCTTTTATTAAAATAATTTTGATTAAAAAATAATATAGTTACACCTAAATATTTTTGTAGTGTGGTAACCTATTAAAAAATTAAGAATTCTTGATTTTTCAATTATTAATTAGTTTTTAAGACCATCACTTACAACTTATTCAGCTTGATTATTTGATAATAAATCATCTAATTAATGACCTACGGGTTTATAACAAATTTTTATGGAAGAAAGAGGGGGAAACAAATTTCTTTTTGAAAATGACACGGTACCGTGTTTCCTTCATTCACACATCATCGTGTTATCAACATACAATGTTTATGTATATGTTGATGTTTATTTTTATGTGTATGGAAGTATATTGGGACTGAAACATAAGTGTGCGGTAGCTTAGTGGCAGGTTGGTAAGGTTTGTTTCTACGATGCTTTGAGTCACGGGTTCTTTTACTGTGTCTCTTTTTATTTCATATAATTTCCGGTTTATTTTTTATGGTTGGCCGTCGGTCGTATTTAATTATAGAACGTAAGATACTATTAAATTATATATAGATATTTATAAAATTTTACATTTTTAAAAATATTTCTTGAGTCATAGTTAAACAATTACCTGTATGACAAATAAAAAATATCAAGTTTTTATGTATATTACTGTAAAGATTATCGTTTACAGGATACATATATAAAATATTAAAAAAAAACAATTATTACTTGAATATAAGGAGCGGATGTAGCATCTTCCGGAGTTATGGTATGAGCAGAACCACCAACAATGTCTGGAGAAGAAATACTAACGTCACTTGAATTCATCGAAGATTGTTGAGAGTCTGGCCAAGACACTCCTTTTTCTAAAAATATATTGTTTATTTATTAATTGAAAAAAAACACTCATTATGTGAATAATTATTTGTTCGCTGGAAAATTCTCTATTAAAATAATTAAAGTATATTTATATTTAAATAGGATAAAAATTTTAATTCATTATTAAATGTTAAAAATGGGTATTTTTCTGTGAATAAAAATTTAGGATATTCTATCAAAAATTGTGATATTGCAGTAGAACTTAATTTAGATACTTTCATTTTTATAAAAATTACTAGCAACAATTTATAACAATCAGATTAGATGATTTTTTAGTTAAAAGCTCAGTGGTGTTTAATCACTGGTGATGTGACCCTACTTAACAAACTTAAAATAAAAGATATAGAAATACTGATGTTGAGATTTTCCCAATTATTATGTAGTATTTTAACATGTAATAAGAACATTAAGTTAAAATAAATGGCTAATTTTTAATTTAAACAAAATGTTAAAATAAGACAATACTATAAATTAATTTAAATTTGGCAAATGGTAATATTTTTAGTTGATTTTAAATTAATTAGTTTATAATTAAGTTTTTATAAATTTTATTTTCATTATAAATTTAAAAATATAAATGTTATTAACATATTAACGAGTTAGTAAATATTCTGGAAATAATTCAACGAACTTTTATAAAAATTAGTAAAATACCCACTAGTTTAATTAATGTAACATAATGAAGTTGCATAATCTTCTAAATAAAAATTGAATCAAAGGTTAAATTAAAATAAACATTGTACTAATTATATTATGAACTAAAAACAAGTTTAAAACAATTTTGGAAACTTGTCCATTTACGTTTTACTACAACTACATTGTAAGTTCATATAATCTGCACGTAAAAAGTTATCTTTGACTTATTGATAATATATTTTAATTTTAGCATAAATCATAATTATTTTGAGAATTTTAACTATGTCGATAGTAGGTAAGCTACTTTGAAATATAACGTGTTTCTATATGACATTTATTATCATAACAATTTAAATAATTAAAATTACACTTGATGCTAACGATAACTGATACTAATGAAACCTTTCAGATCTAAATTATTCTAGTAATGCATTTTCAATGTAAGTTATATCTAATTGACATAACATAGTTCTAAAGTGATGGAAAATGTATTAATGAGTGTATTTTAATCATAAGTATACTCGCTGAAACTTTTTCTTTAGATTTCTATAGTAGGAAAAAAATGTTTAAGCATTTAAAATTCTAAAAAAATGTAATTTTTATTATTTTAAATGTGTTTTATTAATTTTCAGTGCAGCCAACAACAATAAGTTTATAGCAATTGTTTTATTAAACATCTTTTGATATGGGGAAATTTTGTATTTATAGCCGCTGGTAAACCAAATAAATAAAATAATTAAAACTTATAATATAAAGAGATACTTTTTTTTATAATTTATTGCTATTAAAGACATAGTAACTAATAATCAGAGCTAGGAACTGAAATAATTTTGGATTTACGAACATTTTCAACATGTTTAGTATGTTAGTTGATCTATATCGAATTTTTTTCATGATCTTGTTAGGTTAGTAATTAAAGAAACTAAAAGTGTTATAACACCATAATCAAACCTAAAATTTAAATTTTTTAAAGTAAAATTATAAGTTTGTTATTATTGGTTTCTGTAAATATTTTTTCACAACATATACTAAAAAAAAGTTTGATATAGATTAACTAATAACTAGCAAAACTGAAACTATTTTAGTAAGCCTTGCTAGTTACATTAAACATATTTATAAAAATAAGTAGATTTATTGTTAAACCAGATAAATGAATTTTGAAACATAAAATATTAAATGTGTCATGTAATAACGAATATTAATACGCGTCAAAAATATATGATTAATCATAAAATTCCATTTTTTAACCGTACAAAGTTACTGCGTAATTGAGTGTAAAATGATTTTCATCTCTGAAACAGTAATCGAGTAATTTAATTTGAAAGCTTTTTTATATTAAGTTTACGTGTATATTCTCTTTGTGTAATTTAATTTAAGGAAAATTCATGAAATTCATGAGTAGTCATTATGTTAACTTAATTAGCTTAACTGAATATTTAATGTTTATTTATTTTGTTTCTAATGGTCAAATCGCAAAATTTCATTTTCCACGCCCAAACTACTCGCAATTTAAGTTTGTTTATCGTTTCTTTTAAAAATCAAATGTTAACCTACATTTTTTTTTTAAACCTAAATTATATCTACCAAGGCATTACAAGTTTTAATAATTTCATAATGAACTTTTGATTTAGGCGTCTGCGCACAAAAATTTTATAAAAATTACTATCGATTTTTATTAAAACATAATAATAAATTTCTTGAATTTTGAAATTTTAAGAAAAAAAAATTACAATTTAATTAAATTTATATAATTGATTATTTTTCTTTTGAAAGTAAAAACTTATTTTTCATAATATTGTTTATTTTTTATGGACTTTTATTGTACTTGTATTTTTTATGGAGTATATAAAAATAATTAAGAAATAAATATAATTTATTTAAAATAAAAAAAAGTTTTATTTGAGTAATATACAAGATTCATATACGCGTATAAGTAAATGATTTTTAGTAATAATCGTTGAAGCTGATTCAATTGTGGTTAAACTTTATGGTTATTCGGAAATAATTTTTGATCGTATGAAAGTCAGTAAAATTCTAATTGAGTCATATATTTAAGTAGCTGGTGGCTATGCTTAGATTAAAATTGATTAATTCAGATACAAAACATAAAAATTTTATTTAATCTGTGTATTTTAGTCTAAATATAAGAGCTATAATAATTTAATATTTTAGGATGCAGTTTCTATTTATAACTTATCATGATTAGTGTTTTATTGATCATAAACTTAATATTTCAGTAGATATATAGACCTAAACGTGTTAATATATTTTAACACGAGTACAAATATATATTAATACAAATAACCTATAAGATTATATTATAACTGCTATAAACATTTCATAATAGTTGATCATTCCTCGAAATAATCGAATTTCTTTAGATTCAAAATATTAATTTTAATATTTTTTGTTAATATCTTATTAGGCGACTTACTTTTTGTGGAGAATGATTCATGTTATATACTTTTTTAGTATTGTTTTATTTAAAAGTATTAAGTAATCATATATTATAATCTTATATTATTTAACGAGAAATACGTCGGTATATTGAGATTTTATGTATGACAATTAAATAATTCACAATTTATACAACTATAAAGAAAGGTTTACAAGCTATATGTTGAATACGCTTCGATAGTTCATTAATACTTAATTCAAATCAACTTATTTAGTAATTTAACTAGACATTATTTATCGACAGATATAAGATTTTACAATGTTTTAGAAAATGACAATTTTTTTTTAATGTCTTTCATTAACGTTAATCACTTTTTTCAAGCATGTTATGTTTAGGAAAAGTTTGTCATATATAATCACTCTTAAGTTTCTGGCAAATACACATCATTTAGACGATGAATGTATTAAATAATTTTGTTTATTACTATATGATTAAATCTGATCAGTTGGGTCATTGAAAAAATACAGCATTTTTATACTTCCATTTAACATTAATGAACATCAATCATAATTTTGAACTAATTCAAATTAAATAATAGCACTTGTTTGAAATATAATATTTTTAACAAATATTGGTTATTATATATAATATTAGCTATAATTTTTTCATATCTTAAAATGTATATTATAATAATCATTTAAGATATAATTTGTGCTGAAAATTATTGAAATTGTGGGAGAAATAAATTTTAAAGAATTTTATACTAAAACAGACAAAATAATCTTAATTCAAGTTATTACATTTGGGTTTAAACCGTAATATACTCTGAATTTAATTATGTAAATGAAATGTTTAATTGATAATATAAAGTAATACGGCGTTATAGTTAGGCAATTTAGCTACTTGTAGACATATATGTAATAATTGTATCTGTTTTCAAATCTATTTTACAATAGTATACTATACTAGAATTTATGAATCCTAGTATTTCAATTTATTTATAAGTATTTTTTCAGTTGGGTATCATTGTTTTATTTTATATGTGTATTCTTATCGAGATAAAATTAGTTCAAAGATAAACAAATGTGTGTTTAGCGCTGGTGATGATAACATTAATTCTAAAATACATATATGCGATATTTTAGTATTTTTGTGGCTTTTTAAGTTAAATATTTATTAAATTTTTAATTTTAAATAATTTTATCCAGAAGTGATCAATTCTTATAACCAAAACAAATTTTTACATTAATAGTTATTAGTAAAAATAATTTTACTAACAATTTTAAATTATTAAATTAAATATTATTTATTAATTATTTATTATTATATATTATATATTAATTTAAAATTAATAGATAAAAACATGATAGGTATATAAAAGACAATATATTTTGATTAAGATAATGGTACTTCATCAGTATACAATAATATTGATAAAATTCTAACAATTATTCAATAAGTTTAGCTGGATATTTGATATTAACTTGGATTTGGGAAATATTTTCATTTTAATAATACATTGAACCTTAATCTCAAAATAATATTTAATTTGTAGTTAATTTTTTTTAATTATTAATTAATTTTATTTTTTAACTTTTGTTCATCTGTTGCATTGAATAACCGTATATATGACTAATTAGTTTATGGTACTAATTTAATTATTCTAAAATGTCTGCGTCGATATATTAAATATATGATTGGTTTACACAATTATATTATAAATTATATATTCAAATGACAAGCGTAATTTTATTGTAATAGCGTAATATTATTTGGTCGAATTTAATTATGTTATATTTGTATATTATTAAATACTAGTAAAAACTTTATCGGCCGAAAATATATATTATTAAAATAATCACTTTACTCAAATGAAATATATAAAAGAGTAATATAATATTCATTGAAATTATTCGTGTTTACTATGATGTTTATTTGTCTTTTTAATATACAATCATTAAATAATTGTTATTTTCGGGTACTGAACAACTCGTGAATTACGTTAAAATAAATTGGGTATTATGGTTTTATATATATATATGTATATATAAGACTTATTGGGTATTATATAAATTTAACATAGACTTGTCAATTACATTGGATTTATTCTTTATTGCTATTATTTATACTAAAGATCAAAATTATTATCTACTTTCTATTTGAGTTACAGATGATTTACGATTGTTAATTATCTAGAAAAATTTTTTCTGGAAGGGGATTGAATATTTTTTTTTAATAATTTTTTGGCAAATATTATTTTTGATGAATTTTATTGTTTAAAACTATTCTAAAGTTACATTTTAGGTTAAAACTTTGGTGGTTACACGAATTTTAAGGCAAACACACATGGCCATCGAGTTCTCCATAAATAAGTTTCAGCATAAAAAAAGTTTTATCTACTAAAACTATAATTAAAAGTGAAGGTTAAGATAATATTTGGGATTATGTTATTTTTTTTATTGGTGTGTTGTTAAAGTGTTTATCATAATATTGTTACAATTAGACCCTAATAATTATATGTCAGTATCTATATAAATAATAAATTTGTGAGATGTTTGCTTACCCAGTGTTTTGAATATAACCGGTCTACTTCGATAACGTCGACCTGCTTTAAAGGCTGTGACAATAACTTGATACTGAGTATTGGGCATCAAGTTGCCAAGTGTCACGGAATCGGAGTTTACTGCTATTTCTGCTACTACCCTGTAACTGACCAATAACAAAGGAATCCTTTTAAATTTATAAACCGTTACATATTTAATCACAAATATTGAACCATCTATTGGCTGATTCCGTGAATACGTGTAGCAGTTACCATAGAAAAAAAGTAGGGGAAAGTGACCTATACATATCTGCAAAAACTGTATAGAAAAAATCATAGACCACAGGATTGCATGTCCTCCCGTCGATTGAGGACAACAACAATGATGACCTGACGTCAGCGTAATGTGTTCTGTAATACTTTAGGATTTTATTTTCTATATGATATTAGAATGTTTTGACTGTTCGTTTTTGCAGAATACTATTAATAAACTTAAACGATTCATTTTGAAAAATATTAGTGAGTTACATCATGTTCGATTGATTATATTGTACTACGTTAATGGATGGTAACTGACTAATGATGGAATTGCTTAAGTAATTTATTGTTTTAAACTTGCACAGTATTATTTCATCTCGACGGGCAATATGTTTATACTCTGAATTAAATGTATTAAATTAGATCAAGAGCGGTAAGATGAATACGTGGATCAAAAGCGACACAAGACAGAATGAAGAATGAGTACAGAAAAATATCTTAGTAATCTCTTCAATCGCGAGTTATGTGAGAAAAATTGTCTGGAAAGTTTTATGCGGCTAAAGAGAAATAATAAGAATGAAACTAATAGAAAAAAAGATGTTTTGGATTAACGACATAAAAATAAATGTAATATATGAGTACACAATGAAAACTAAAAATCACTAATTTAATATAATGCGTGGGTTTTGTATTACAATGTTTATAAGAAGTAAAATAAATTGTTATTAACAATTATTAAAAAACACTCTGTTAAAAGTTTATTTTGTTGTTCACAGTATCACTGAAATAATTATTCTTCTAGAAAACGTTAACACTTTACATTCATTTTAAATAAAATAAAAATAGTTTATTCTAAGTAATGTTTTAATTAATAACCAATTGAGTTAAGAAGTGTTTGGAATTGTTCCAACATTAAAAGGAGCTAGGAACTCTTTTTTAGATAAATTGATATACACCAATAGTGAAATTTTAACAATTTGCTTCCTTTTAAGTTATTACGGGAGCTATAAATTGTTTGAATTCGAAAATTAATTTATCAAGAATATTTTTTCGTGTAATGTGTAAATACTATAATGTAAAAATCATAATGTGGTTTCAATGAAAAAAGACGTTTAATAAAATTTTACTCTTTTTTAATATTTGCGCTTTTCGATAGCTTTGTCATACAATTAGTTTGTATAGTAATAACATGCTTACAACATTTTGTCTATATAAATATATATATATATATATATATTTATTTATTTAAATGCTACATAACAATATATGAGTATTATATGAGGTTGTTATAAAAATATCTATTTGAGTTGGTGTGTTTAATATTATTAATAACGAATTTTATTTACCTGGCGTTGGTAGGTTTATACATGACATCATATTTTTCGATACCTCTGAGAGATATTTTCCAAGATACTTGAACAGTATTTGGACTTAAAAATATAACGGTAATATCGTCGGGAGCTTGGCCAGCAGACGAGCACCCTGTTTAAACAAATAAGTATGTTATTCGACAAATTTACTCAACTTTTAAATTATATACTGAGTTATTGATTTATCGTTAACCAATAAATTTCTTCTAAAATAACAAAAATGTTTAGAATTAAAAACTATCCAACTAAGGAAATAACTTATCGATATCAAATGTTTGAACCATCAATTTGCGAGTTATTACCACTTTAATACATAACAGGGGCGAGGTGTGGATAGTTATTTTTGTCATAACAATTTTCTTTGTTGTGCTATTTTTGCAATCAGATATAAAAATAGTCATAGTTCCTGGACTACTGGTTCAAAAGTTATTTTCTTAATTAGATCATTTTGTAACGTTAAAGATAGTTAAATATGTATATTGCCACAAAAAATAAAGTTGTTGATTATACCCGTATAAGAGATAATCGATAGATCTCAAAAATATCTGATCACATAAATCCAATAATAAATATTATTAAATAAAGCCAACAATTTTTTTTTTTTAATTATTATTAATTTATGAAAAATCTAGCGGTCAATTATATATAAATCATCCTTTATACTATATTTTTAAAATTTTTATAAAAATAAAAAAAATAATCCTTATTTAAATATATATTTAAAATGAAAATATATTATTAATTTTTAATTAAAAGTGAAAATATTAAAAATGTGAAGCAATTAAATTTAAAAGTCTTTAGATTTTTACATCTTAGGTGCTTGATAAACATTATTTAGTTTTATGTGGAAATTATTTTGATAGATGTATCAAATTAGGAACTCAAAATACATTTTATAGAATATCATTTCCAGATTATCATTTTTGAATAAACACAAATTTATAGTTTACTGATGTCATTAAGTTAATTTATTATTTTTGAATTATCTCAAAGTATTTTACAAAAAAATAAATAAGGTGTCTGTGTTTAGTGATATTATGCGAATTTTGTTTTATAAAGTTTTCGTAATTATTTTTTTTCTTTAAAGATATATCTTACTATTGGAGTTGTGTATACGATCAAAAGAAGTTACTGTCAATGTCTATGAATAAATTAATGTTAAATTTGGTTAAGTTTTGACGTTAATATTAAAAAGCCTTCCTCTCCTTTAATTTAAATTAAAATAATATGAAACGAGTAAGCGTATATTCAATATTAAAAACAGATAAAAGAAGCTGTCAACTGTTAACAGTTTATTATACCTTGTTAATCAAGTTGGGACATTGTGTAGTTATCAGTACCATATTATCGGCACAAAAGAAATGTCCATAATTCGCATAATAAACAATTTTATCTTTGTGTTTAGTTACTATAACGACAAGGGTTTGTATTGTGGTAAATATTATCTTACTGCTGTTAAAATTTTAAAATGAAACTTTTTCAAATAAATAATAACTTTGATATTAAAATTTAGTTTTATTTTTAATGCTCTACTCAAGTAATTAGAAGAACTAACTCATTTTGTTGGTTCAATTAATATTTAGTTAGAATCGCTAAATAAAATTAGTTAACTATTTTTTATAGTCGTTTCATAGGCATAATTTTAACAACAATTTTAAAGTGGTTTATATTTTAATTTCTCTTTAATTTGCGCCTCTTAATTGGTTCAACTATATATATATAGCTTTTTTAATTATATAGTTGTTTTGTTGCTATTTGAAATAAAATATTCAGTAAGGCTAACCATATATTTTTGTCCGTGGAGTATTCATTTCATAACTTACTAAGCCATTTGGTCTACCAAAATTACATAAAGAATTTAAAAATAGGCAAAAAAAACAATAATTGTATTAATATTGGCGTTAGTCCTACAAATATCATGATAAGTATTAAAAAATAAAGCAGTATTTGGTTTAAAAAAGTAATATAAGTATAACTACGTTGTATACTTTTGTATGTGTTATATGAATACATGGTCTACAAGAAATTATTATCTAAGTCAAAATTATACTTTTCTTAATAATTTTTCGTACAGATTTTAATCTGCAATTAGATTTTCTTATTATCACTAATTTTTTGTATTATTACTAATTTGTTAACGAGTATAATATATAAAAAAATAACCAAAAAAATATTGGTTAAAATGAAATTCCATATCACAACAGCGGACGAAATCATAGATGAAACTAGGCATGTAATATTTCTGAATATTAGTAAATCATAGAATATAACTTAAATGGAAGTTATAGTTATGACTATTTTAATTGTAGCATTTATTTAAACAGCAAGAGTTACATAGAAATGATTTATTAAAATATAAATACAAAAATTATAATAAGTCATTTTAACAAATTTTGGCATTTTTTAAAATTTAAGTTAATAGTAGTTATAAAAGTTCCTGAACATATATCAATCTAAACAAAATTATTCTTTAAATCTTCATAAAATTTTCTATTTAAGGACATCAATTTCACAGTTGCACTTTGAACTAAAAAAAAAAGATTAAAACTTCAACATTTTTAAATTATAAACTTTTATAATAATTAACTCTAAAGGGCAAAGAATAGGTTAAATATGACATTTTAAATCAAGATTTTGCATGGATTATTTTTAACATAATAAAAATCAAAATAAATTTTTATATGTAAATACTCGTTTTTATACATTAGTAATAATCTTGAAAAACTAAGCGATAGAAAAAATCTAATTACAAATTTGAAATCAGTGCAGAAAATTAAAAATTTTAATGTTGGACTAGAGAGAGTTGAACATTTTCTTCAATTTCGCTTCGAAACTAAAATGAACAATCAAAAGTTATATACTTTTTTGATAATATTATAAAAATTGATTTTATTTGTAAAAATCCATTTTTAAATTTGGAATTTCCACTATTTATAAGGAACGAGGGAATATATTTCAATTTTTGAAGGTAATGCCTTCAACTATCGAAGCTAAAAGGTACGGAGCGTTGATATTTTTATTTTATTCCAGAGCAATATTAAATCAAAATCATTTAATTATAAATTAAAAACTTTTAATTGGCCTATAATGAATTTTTTCAAGAATTTGTAAATTTAATTATTGTTGAAACCGAATGTACTATTAAACTGCTTAAAACTTTAACTAATATTAAAATTTGACATTATTAAAATTAAAAACCAAAATTAACCAAATCTTTTTTTTTTTAATTTTAGATTTTTAGTTTTTTAAAAGTCAAATGTTAAGTTTAAATAAGGTTTCAAAGGCGGTTTCATAATACTTTTGGTTGATGTAAATATCTTTTCAACGTGAACTAAAGAAAAATTTAATATAGACGAACTAATTTAATAGATATTAGAAAAATGGCGAAACCGATATTATTTAAGTTTCTACTTATTTTTATTATTTTCGAATTTAATATGTTATACTCACAGCCAAAATGAAATCCATGAAGTATAATAAAGATCTCCCACAGTATCATAATAAGCTACACATATTGACGTTTAGTCAATTAGGCACTGACTTAATTACAAAGATCCACTTTTTCGATATCGTTTAATAAAATTATGGTCATCATTTTTCTTTCTGCTTTAATACTGAAACAAAATTATTATAACATTAAATTATGTTTACATAAGAAATAAATTATTTTGATAAAAAATAAATAGTTTGATAATCATTTTTAGAGGCAAATTGTCCAGGTAGATACGTATACAAATATCAATTAAACATTTTTATTTTACATAATTTCATTCATATTTTTGCAGATGGTACACTTTTAAACAACTTAATAAATAACATTTTACTACCCATTATCTGTTATAATAAATATTATAGAACATTTTTAAAGTATTTTAAAAAGTATAATAATAAGGTAAAAATTAATTAACTGTAATACTTTTTATTTATTAAAATATTATCATTATGAAACTTTTAATGTTTTTTTCAGGAAGGCAAAACTATAATCATAAATCTATCTCAACTTAATGGATCTATTAAATGGCTTCTTGAGAAATTTTCCAAACCAGTAACATGACATGCATATTATTTTTATAGTGATAGTAAGATTCTGGGAAATTCTAATAAAATGAACTAAATAAACTCTATATAAATATTATATCTTGTGACAAGATAGGTCAATGTTACGCTTTTAACATTGATTAAATGAGATTTAAAGTTTTTATTTTTCTATAATAATACATCAAGTAATTTAAATTGAAAATTTTAGAAATATTATTATTTGATAAAACATTGTAAATTTACTTTAACATTTTGTTTAAAATATACATTCAATCATGTTCAAGGTGAGTTCTAGAAGTTTGTAATAAAACTACATATGAATAGTTCAGAGTTTCAAGAGAATTGAGCAGAGAATAAGTGTAGTAGAGATGAGAATGCTTAGATGGATGATGGAGTGATTAGAGAAGATAGGATAAGGAACGAATATATTTATGAGGGAGTATAAGTGCAGCGTAAATTGTGGATAAGATGAAATGAAATATTCTTACAATTGTTAGATGATTTGGTCGTGTTATGAGGAAAGAGGAATCGAAAGCTGTAAGAATAGTTAGGAAATTAATGTTGAAGGAAGAAGAGGTAGAAAAAAATTTGTTTAGAAAATTATTTAATTACTATACTAAAATATTGGTATAATTTTATCGATTTTAATAAAAGTTATGTGAGTTTTTAAACAAATTAGTAAATTTGAATATGGAACTAACATTTTCCTGTGGATAGATGATAAAAATACTTCTACGGCACCTCTACCAGTCGTAACAGGCAACCTAATAAGGTTGCGTCAAGTCGACAGCCGGCGTAAAATTTTTGTCAAAAAGTATAAGGAGTCTTGAAAAAAACTTCGTGTCAAGTGGGAGTTTAGGATAAGGATGGCTGACCCCAAGTAGTTGTAATAAAGGCGAGGAAAAAGAAGAAGAAGAAGAATATGGAACTAACAGTTGATTAAAATGAACCCTAATTAAATCGCTTTATTTTAAGCAAATGTTATTAAATTTTAAAAATATTTTCTAAGAAACTATTTAAATATAAAAATGACAGCAAGTATAATTATTTGAGTTTAATCTATCATAAAATTTAAAGTTTAAACTAAAATTAATATTTTTATGTTGTTAAATAAGTTAAATTTTAACTTTTTCATTTCTTTATTTATTTAAAAAATATATTTTTTGTTATATAGTATTTATTATGTTTTGTTTATATAAGTTTTGAGTGAAGTTATAAGAGAAATCTTAAATATTTCCTAACTTATAAAAAAGAATGAATGAATATATAATTTTATTTGAGTAAATTTTAATCGCTATTGTAATAAATTTTAGAATTTCAATAAATTATTTTTTAAAGTTTATTAATATCTTTTATATTTTAGAAAAACTATAGCTTGTTTTTATTCAAATAAATAACATACAGTTGCGGCGTGCAAAGAAAGTTTGAACATCTATTAAGAGGCTTCAAGTTAAAAGTTTTATTATGAATGTTAGTCGTTGAATGCATTTGAAATAATCATTGGAAATAAAAATTGTTTATTGAATATGAACTTATTGGAGTTAAAAATAAAAATTTAATTGTTAAACCATTAAAAAATTAACGAAATGATTAACAAAAAATAATAGTTTTCAAAGTTGAATTAAAACAGAAATGAATTCATTATATTAATACTTTATCTTAGTATCGACACAGTACATTTTTGTCGGTGATTTTTGACATTAAAGATAAACATTTTCTCGACGTTTCTAGAACTTTATTGCTTGAACTGTATTTCACAAAAATTGATTTCGGTGAAATGATACATTTTAAAACTTTATGTGTGCCTTTTCAAACTGTATAAATAATCTTAAGTTTATGATTTTACTATCATATTATTTTATTTTATTGGATACTTGCGATTTATTAGTAATAATTCAAAATTTAAACCTAAAATTCAAATTAAATATATTTATTTCAGTAAAAAAAAAAAATTAAACTCTTTTAACATTTTGTGTATGAATACACAGTATATACATTTTACAATGCGTTATGTTAAGTAGTTAACTAAAGCTAATATCAAATTTAAAAATATAATTATTTTTTAAATATATTTATTATTTTGAACTTAAATTTTATACAAATCATCTGTGAAATACTAACGTTGACACCAATTTGTATCTTTTATATTGTATCTTATGGGTGATGTGTTTCAGTTTATAATTAATTTAATAATATTATTTCTTAAACGATGAAGATGGAAGTAAATTTTAAAAAATAAACAGATTATGATAAAATTAATACTCATCAGCTTTGTAGCGAAACCAAAAAATTATATGAATTGATAAATAGGGTCAGGAAATATAAAATTTGTGATTATTCAATTAAAAAAATATATATACTGTTAATACTAACGAAAATATCATAGAAATAAATAAGTGAAGTTATTTAATTATAGCTTTGTATATTTTCTTATTCTATAAAAGATTATTACAATTTAATAATTAAAAAAAACAATAAGTAACGATGAAGTGTATTGTATGTGAAACATACAGAGATAGAAATTTTTATTAAATTGAGCACCTTAATTGTAATTACGAAATAATTGAATGAAAAACTTTACAAAAATAAGATTTTCAATTGCAACATTAAATGAATATATTAATAAGGGACTTATTAATGTTAATAAATAAAGGCCGTGATCCTGTCGGTTAATAGTTTTACTAATTTATACAAATTTAGTTCTTTCATTGCTTTGTGACCGCCCTGTGGACATGCAAACCATCTCGTATACAGTAAATGACATATACAGTATAAATGACGTATACAGTAAAAATAATAAATTTTGTCGATTAATATAATCACAGTAGTAGCTTCAATTGATCCTTAAAGGTATCATTGCAAATTTTAAACATAGAAAAAACCATAGTATAGGGAAGGATGATTCACATATTATTATAAATATCACTTCTTCTTCTTTTTTCTTGCCTTAATCCCATATACTTGGGGTCGGCCAATTTATTATTATAAATATCACTATAAAATTATTAATAGTGCTTTTCATTGCTGTGACAGTATTTTGATCAATTGCTTTAATAAAATCTTCAACACATAGAAGTCGCATTTTTTTTAAAACCCAGGTAAATTAACTTATTAAATATAACTTTTATATTATTTTCACGTGGATATAAAATTAATTTTGTATAAATGTATATAAATATAATAAAATATATGTTCTACTTTATTGTATATTGGGAATTATATTTGGTACTTATAAAAATAACAAATATATTTTTTTTTCATACATTCATTGAATTCCTTAGCTTATATGATAATTTAACGAAATATTACTAAAATGAAAGAAGTTAATATTTATTTTGTTAACTTTAAAATAAATTATTAAAGATATTTACTTAAATAAGTGAAATATTTATTAAATATATTAAAAAAGTACTTATGAATAAAAATGATTGCAGTTATCATATTTGAATTTTTATTAAAAATTTATATACATTTTTATTTATTGGATGTAGAGCTATTAGAAAAATAACTAACATAAAATAGATAATTAGCTTAAGATGTCTTAATCTAACTCAATTTTGTTAAAGCATTCGATTTTAAAATAATCTAATTACAAAGTACCTTAAGAAAAAGTTAGAAGTCTTAATTTAATTCTTCACTATTTCATAATGAACGTTAGATAGTTTTATTATTTAATAAAAATGTTTATATGCAAAAAAAAACTGGAGAATTGATTTTGAAACATACTTTTCAAAAGAATAGATTAAATTCACACGTAAGAAATTCAGAACAAACTTGTAAATAAATTTAGTAAAAGCTATGTTTGCTCAATGTATATCCTATTTACCTGCTAATGTACTCTAAAAAGTAATAAATTATTTCTTTTTAACCTTTACACAAGAAAAATCCTTTTTAAAAATTCTTTATTTTCAAGAACAAAATGTTTGTTTAAGTTTAAGTTTAGAATCACTTATAATATATATTATTATTATAAAACACAACTTAGTATGTAATACCAAGCTCAAAGTTTATTTTTAAATACGGGTCTTAAATTTGAAAACTGTAATAACATAATCTGTAATTATCTCAAATATTATCTATAAATCAAATGTAAATAATATAATAATTTGTAAGACAAATTTAGTACTTTAAAATATGAAAAAAATTTAAAAGTTTTAGATTTATGTTTAGTTGATAAAACTGAAGGGAAATATTTATTAAATAGGAATTATAACTTTTTGATTTCCGATATATTTTCCAAGTAGCCCATATATTTTTAAAATAATAGCTAATTACTTGCACACACGTTTTTTTGTTTAAATTATAAGTAACCACGATCTTATCATGTCTTTTCATTAATTATTACAATTATTGTATTGATTTAAAAGTATAATTTTTTTTTTTAAGTTTGTTTTGTTTTTTCAGAACAGGGATTCTTAAGAATTTAATTGTTAATTGTGACTTAATACTGTATACCAATAATATAGAATATTTATCCAGTGTTAAATTACCCAAAATTACTAGTAGAAATAAATCAACTTATCTAGGCGACTTCATTAATACACACAAGCAATTGCTTTTGAGTTACAATGATAAGCTCTACAAGTTAAAAAAAAACATTAAATTAGCTAATGGGATTCCATTATGCTGAATACGGTTTTCAGCAAATTAATGTTACCTATAAAAACAGTAAAAATAAAAAGCGTTCTACAACATGCTATGTTGAACGAATCTATACATGGCCTTAAAGGTTTAGCTGCTGATAATTAAAATCTTCTGAAAATGCCTCCAGGATTAAATACGTACAATTACTCATTCTAACGACTTGTTTGTTTGCTTTCTAAACTGCAGTACCATAAGCTGTGCTTTTATTCGGACTCCGTCAACGGGTTCGGATGCATTAAAAACGCTATTTTCAAGGCAACTGAGCCTAAATACACAGACCAAATGATTTTCATCTAGTGAGTTTCACGTTAATTCAAAATTGTTTTCTGATGCTTTATGTTTAAAAACTGCTTTATTTGTAGTTATACATTTATGTTGTTTATTCAACGGCAACATTATGCTGTTGATTTGTTTGAAAACCAATTACGTTAGTGTGAAATATTTTTATTCAAACTTATAATTAGTTATTATCGAGGTGGACATAATGCCCATGCACTCAGACCTGTTGGTCCATTGTGCGCAAAACTTATAATTATATTCGACTAATGTTTGAACAAGCTTATGGAAGACGACGAGTTTTGAAAACGTCTCAATAGAATTCTCTAAAATTGTTCATATCGTAATTATATTAAACACTTCAACAAACAGTGGATGAACAATTTGCAAGTTAGTCAGATTTGTATATTTACATTTTTAGTTCTATATCAAGTACATATATTTTATTAGTATGATTTTACGACCGACCAAAACCGTTAAATACTTTTAATAAGTAATCTATACAGGGTGTTCATTGTTCTCATTGTTTGTAACAATGAGAACAATAGAAACCCGTTTCCTGACTTACTGAACACCCTGTATATTTATGGATGTTTAACAATACTTTTTAACAGTTCTGTGGTGTTCGGTCAAAAAGGGATAAGTGTAAAATTGCAATTTCTGACTTAACATAAAACATAATTTTTGTTTTAAATGTAACAACATTATTTTTACATTAAAAAAATGAGAATAATTGTAACATCTATGTACTCTGGAAAATTAAATTAAATTTTTCCAAAAAGTAGCAATGTAGCCCGTATACTACAAACTTCTTAAATTCACTGAGTTAATATTTTTCATAATAAAAGTACTATACGTTAATTAGTATATGGTACTTTAAACTTAATAGTTTCGATTAGATTGTTACATCAGCCTATTTGCATGTTTATTACTTATTATTACTTTTTCTATTTAAATTTATATTCAATAGATGATTTTTTGTTAGGAGGTTGTTGATAATTTAAGTAGTATTTTTGTAATTTATTAACATGTGTTTACAATAAATATTTTTTGTTTGGATTTTGTTAAAATAAACAATTATTTTAAAATTAAATAAATATAATACATTATGCTTAAATTACAACATAAAAATCAATTATTAATAAAATAATAAATATTAAAACATTCATTGTTTAAGCTTTAGCGAATTTTTTAAAACATTTAAGATATTGTACTCGGTATAAAAAACTAATTTAATGTTTACATTTTTTTTTTTTTAGCTTTTGATTATTCAAGAGACCATTGAGTAAACGTAACGTTTCATATTTTAATAAACATCAGGGTTATAATAAAATACTTTATTCTGTATTGGTTATGTCTTACTGTGAAAACTGCGAGTTTAATTAATAATATTTTCTTTTGTTGCAATAACGCAATTTTTATGAATTCTCTGGAATTAGCTTTTTATATTAATAAGCTATTACTTTATAGTGATTAAGTACAATAATACTTTTTGTATGTATTTCATAAATACTTCCTAATACAATTATAATCTCATTATTTTATCTAGATTAATGTAATAATTTTAATGTAGTCCGTTAATGAAAATTATTCTCAGCATTAAAAGTACATTGTGAAATTCACGTACTTCAATCGTAAAATGTACGTTCAGATGATCCTTTTCAATAATTAAACATTTACGATTTAAAAAAGAAATAAATACACTTTGTGTTTTAAAATATTTTGTTGATACGTAGTTAAAATTGAGCAATCATTGTATTAATTTGATAATACTAGAAAGTGGAAGACGAGCACCTCGTTCACTACAAATGAAACATAACTACTTCGTACGCGACCACTGTACGATACTGTCTAACAGATCATTTGTGTCTTTGTGTACATCTTGTTGCTATCATTTTAGCCCAAAGTGTTCTATGTTGCCTTTTAGAGCACAGTAGTTTTTTAATACAGTACATCGTCCTAGCGATTTGCGCGTACCGTTGTACGGATATAGTAAGATCGTCATGCGATTCGCCTGCAACCTTATACATAGTGATATAAAGCTGATGTTAATGGCTGTCCTCACCATTTGAACACAAGGAAATCCATTTAAGGTCAATTCATCTGTGCAATTTATCAAGACTACAGTAAATGATGGGTATTTAATTATTTGTCTTTGCGCTGTTGTTTCATTAACGATAAATGTCGTTAATGTCCCTGTTTTATAGATTAGTTTTAATTTTATATGTAAAAAAAATATTTAACTTAAAAACCCACAAAAATTATTAAAAAGGATTAGTGTGTTTAGCGTTAATGATGATAACATTGTTCCCGAAATACAAATTCGCGATTTTTAAGAAATTTTTGTGGCTTTTTGAGTTAAATTTTATTTAGTTAAAATTTATATTTTAAATATTAACCACAAGTGAAAAATTCTTAATATATGTTATTTGGTTATTATTTATTATTTAACACAATAGGTATACAATAGAAAACTTATTGCTTATTTACTTATTTATATGGATCAGTTAAAATTTATGAAATGAACTTTTTAAAAATTGGGTCTTAAAAGTTTTTAATTATAAAAAAAATGTGGTAAATTTACAAAATGACTTATGAACCCTTTTGTTTAATGGTAGACCTCGCTCCATTTTATTTTTATAACTATAGATTTTCAGAATAATAAAAGAATTGTTTATTTAATCAAAAGATTTCCTTAAAACTCATTTATACAATTTTAATTAATATATCATCTCTTGCATTAAATCAATTTAATTGATTATGCTTATCACGTGATAGGCAACCTAAATGAAATACTTCATTTAGGAGAAACCACTATGTTTGGGTTCAATGAGTTTTGAAAACTTTCCGTTCTGTATGCAAATTGGCCCTTTACTTTTATGGCGAGAAAATTAGAATTTAATAGCAGAAAATAACCGATTAGATTTTCTCTTCTCTCGTTGTTTTGTAATATAAATAAGTCGGAAAGGTTTACTAACAAAAATAAAGAATATTGTTTTTGTGTTTATAATAAAATCAAAGTTTATTTTTTTATTAGAAACTTATAAAAGAACCCTTCTTCCTTTTACAAACAACTAACACTTACCGTGTAAAAAAATGTATTGTTGACTTTTTAAAATTCTTGACACCTTAGTAGAAACGATAAAAAAAAAAAGATAAATGCCTTTATAAAATTAAAATATTCTACTTATAAACACATTTTATGAAAATCTTGTTAAAAAAATTAGTCGTTATGGTTTATTTTGCGAATCAATTTTTTTACATTTGAATATGTATAAAACAAGTGTGAAAATTGTTTTAAAGTTATTAGTAAAAAGGTGAGAAATATATTTCAGGAAATGCAATTATGCTAAACAATTAATTCACTTCGCATTATACATTTGTCCATTGAGATAATAATTGTTTGCGTTGCTTTCATTTGTATGTACTTTGGTATTTTAATAAACTGTCAGTATTGTTTTTGCTGCGGTTAATTTATGTATAAAACACTTTTTTGAGATAAACATATGTGTTATTATAACAACAGGAGTACCAAAGAAACTTNTTTTGAGATAAACATATGTGTTATTATAACAACAGGAGTACCAAAGAGACTTAAAACGAAATTGACCGACATTGCAAAGTAAGAGAGGTCACTGTTATGTGAGCATATAAAGGGCGTGGTGGTGTCCTACCTGGTAGTGCTATGTCGTTCATTAATCAAGTCCCTACTGTTAAACTTTACCTGTCACTTTGTTCACACCGGTTGCTTGAATAACTTTTGTGAATTCAATCTCGTATGCAACCGACGTATCTTAATGATGCATAACAAATTTGTATTAAATGATTTGATAAATATCCAATTTCGGTATGATTTATGACGTTAATCTCCAAAAACGTGTTGTTCTATACAATCTATAAATCAAGTGAATTTTGAGAATTCTTTAAAAGAATACACATAAAAAATAAAAATAATATCTTGCCTTAGTATTTATGAAGATAATTTTGATTTTAGAACTTGGGACTTAATATCAGGTAATTTAGGTAATCAAATTACGTAAGAGGAAGTTCCATAACAAATATTTAATGGCACTTTTCTAGACAGCTGAAGAACGACTATAAAAAAATTATACGATAAGTTGGTTTTTGTTATAAAGTTTTAGAAATACGTCAGGTACACACTTTAGATGAAATAGATTATATTGTTTTAATATAACGTTTATACAAATGTAATATTGCATGAGCAAAGTTCATTTTTAATTTAAAATGAACAATTATCAAATAAAAATTGTATTAAATGTATTTTAAATGTTTTCGCGCATAACTGTTTATTTACAAAATTTTGCTATAGTAAAAGTTTTATGAGAATTAATATTATATATAACAATGAGGATATGAGACATTAATTGAACAATAGAACATATGCATAAAATAAATCACAATTGTATCTTTTAGATTCGCTGATAAGCTAAAGCAAATAAAATTGCTGTGCTGGTATGTAAAAATGAAATAACGATAAATACTTTTTTACATTTATGGTATACATTATTAACGGTAGATTTATCAGGTGAAATGTGTGGTATAGATATGTTTGAACGTGAATAGATTTTTTACGATTGCACAGTGAGATTAACTATGGTCAACTTTAGTTAACAGTAATTTTATTTTAGACACAAATATGTAATCTATTTGTAGATTGCATATGTTGATTTATTTGTCTAGGCCTACATTTCAATTTTAATCTACTTCGATTAAAATTGTGTACAAAGTTTTTAGTTTACGAGGGTACATTAATTTTATGTTAAATAAAATCAAATACATGTTTTTTCTCTACGAGATAGATAAGTTACCGATTATTATTATTATTACTTAGAGTTATTAATATAAATAAATATATATTTAGCTATACATAAAATAATAATTATTTTTACAATAATGTTTAATATTTCACGAAACGCGAACTCGGTACTATGTTTTTATTGTTTTATACATAATTTTGTATTGGATATATTTTATTTTACAAATGGTTTAAAAGTTAATGCACTAGAGAGCAAATTATGTCTCACGAGACACTTCGAGAGTACGTGATTTTCAGAGACGTGACTGTTTGAAATGTGTGACACAATATGATGTTTACTACTTTTTACCACCAGCGGCTATTTTTCAATGGCTCATACGACATAAGTTTTTGACTATTAAGATTATACATCCAAGTTTTATCTAGGGATCATTGGAACTAAAAATTATCTCTGAAGATAAAAATATTATATTTTTATAGCAAACTTTCGCGATCAATAAAGTTTGGTAAATACTAACTTGTATATATAATACTCCTAAGGTAAATCATAATTTTACTAAAAAGTTAATTGTTTTAATAAGATAGGTCTTCCATAACGTGTTAGTTTTATTTTTAATTTAAAAAGATTTAGATTCTTAACAATTCAAGTGAAGAAAATTAACCCTATAAAAAATGTTTTCTAACAGGTATAAGATAAATAGGCACATATTATACAGTTAATAAAAATAGTGTCATGAAATTTCTCCAGAATAACTAAAATCTGAAATTTATAATATTTAGCAAAAGCAATTTATAAATGATACAATTAAGACTATATGCTTTGATCATATTTTATTTAATGAAAAAATGACAATTCAAAATTTCTTAAATAATTTTCTCAAGATTCGCATTATAAATTATTGTTTTTATCTTAAACGTCAGTTTAATGAAATCAATGAACATGATGAATAAATGAATTCATGTAATGCATTACACTGAAATATATATTTAACAATAAAATCATTGATATAAACATTTTAATGAAATTTTTTGTATTTTTGTAATTATACAACAACCAACATTGTTTTTTTAATAATACCGGTGTTCATACCGTTAAAGAAATATAAAATTGAATAACGATATTACTTTTTGTTGGACAGCTTTTCATACATTTAGTTTACTACAGGCCTATTCTAAGTTGCATGACATTAACCTCGTAATATTTATATATTATTTTTTGTTTCTATGAACATCATAAAAACATTATAAAACGGTCGTTAAATTTCAGTTTTCATAAAATTAAATGATACCCATTCGTAGATTGATTAAACTACACGTCAAATCAATTTTAAAATAAACATAGATGTGTCTAAATTTTCCGACGTTAATACATTTCAAAAATTAGATAACAATGATAAATAGCAATGTCATATAATTTTAACAATATTGTTAAAATTATTGATTGGATAAACTAATATATTTATTAAAACAGTTGTAAAGTAGGAAGAAAATAAATGAATTAGTGATGTTAGTTTGGAAAAAATTTAAGACGACATTGAATTTAATTTAAAAATCATTACTAAACTCTGTGTTACACATAATTTCTTTTTGCTGTATAATAATCAATGACGAATTTTTTTACTTCGGGGGTGCGAAATTTAACTACCAACAGTCTTTTAATGGTGTTATAGTTTATTTCCTACGTTTGTCTAACAAGTTATGCCTATTAAATCTTCAGCCTTATATTAAATTCAATCAGACTTCGGGGTAAATTTATATATATATATATATATACGCTGCCTGATATAGTGTAATTTAAATTTCAACTTAAAATGTTATGATATTCGGTCGTTTTATAGTGTCAACGTTAAATTACAATATATTTGATACAAAATGCAGCTTAGTTTGTACTATCGTGAGTTAAGCAATATTCGTGTATAAAAAATGAATTTTACTCAAAAATTAATTTCCAATATGCGAAAGTTGTTTGAGAGTAAGTTAAATAAAATACAGGAAATGTCATCATTGAATGAAAATTCAATTAAAACTTCAATGTTTTTTTTTCACAATATTGGAAAACATTTTTGAAATATAAGGCTATTTAGACGGTTTTGTAGATATTGATTTTTGCAACGTAATCTATCGTGTTGTTGCGTGTAGAAACAAAATACAACAACAAAAATATACAATGTCTAATTTAAAATAACAGTCTACATTAACATTAGTATTAGAATTTAATACAATACTTAATCATATTTCGAGTACAGTATATTTAGCACTTTATGAAATTATTATCATTCTTAACTTTGGACGTTCTTGTTGTTTAAGAACACGTCATATTCTGCATATATGTATAGTCTGTTTTTATCAATTTTAAATTACATTGATTCACTTAGACACTGTCTAGATAATTTTTCTTTTAAAAATGTCAACAAACTTACACCTTGAAGTTGTGCTCGATATATTAGCAGAATGATGTGTGATAGTGATTCGCCAATCTACATGATATACATAGTGGAGATGATAGAAATGTTTTCTAATGCAGTCGTTTTTACTACAAAAATTAATTAATACAGTATCAAATTTTTTTCTTGCTTTTTCTTTGTAATATTATGTATTCATGATATTAATGAGCTTTAATGATTTTAAGTTATTGGAAGTTTGATGCAAAAAAAACATTCAATAATTTTAAGTAAATATGTTGATTAGTTGAAAGTAAAAAAGACAAAGATAAATCGATAGCAGAACAAATTTTTAAGTACAAAGCTATGAAAAAATGCCAGTGAATCAATGGATGCAAATCAAATATCATTGTTATGAAATGTATCTTAGCACACAAATTTACACTAAAAAAAAAATAGTCGACAATTTTTTTTCGTCAAATCAATCATAGTTTTGTAACTCGAACAAAATATTTGTTTGCTTCATAAATTTTTTATTGTACTAACAAAAATTAGTTGTCGGCTGTATATTAATGATAAATATGTTGATTTTACTAAAGTTATTTTTCAGTGCACATTGATCGTGTCAAGTGGAAGTTTACGATAAGGGTGACGACCCCAAGTAGTTGGAATTAAGGCGAGGAAGAAAAAGAAGATATTTCAGTGCTTATTACATGTATTATTGGCTTTTTAATTTAGATTTAAGAATAAATTGACCAAATGATAGTTAAATTATTTTTTCTTTCTAGTTATATATTATTCTTTTTCTTTCTAGTTACAATACTTCTCGAGAAATTAAAAGAACTTTTATTCTTTTGAGATGGCATCTATTGCAAACAAATTTCGACCTTTATTTGATAGAGAATTGGTGAAAAGAGTTGAAGCTTTGAAACAAACTAAAGGAGGTATAATTTTGCCTGAAAATTCTGCTAAAAAGGTTTTGGAAGGAGCTGTTGTTGCAGTAGGCCCGGGAGGACGAAATCAGAAAGGGAGGTATGTACCAATGGATATAAAAGTAGGTGATAGAGTATTGTTGCCTGAATATGGTGGAACTAAACTTCAATTAGAGGAAGATGATTCTTATACTATCTTCAAAGAATCAGATTTGCTTGCTAAAATCGAAAAATAAAGAAATTCCAAATTATGACTGATTAATTTAATATATAATAATTATTATAAACATTTGAATATTTTTCTCTTGTGAAAGTGCCAACTATATCAGCTCCAATAATAACTATATTACTTATTATTATTTCTTTTCCAACTTGTTTTAATAAAAATGTTAATTTCAATGAGTTGCTTATAATGTTAATATAAGATTTTTTATGTATGTTTAAAATTGATTTATTAGTTTTCAAAAAAAAAAAAAAAATTAACTACGTAATAGAACTTGTTTTCTTATTTTAATAAATCCTCTCATTATATTTTAATCATTTACCATTTAAAAGTATTGTTAATTTATAAAAATCATGAACTTCTTTAACATTTTAGCCTTTTTAAATTTTCTTTTATTGGTAATGGAGAAATACGGAAATAAGGAAGATATCAATGTATTAAATTCATATCTTAAACAAAATAAGTGGTCACTTGACACAAAATATGTACTATGTATATATTATTCTGCTTAAACGATTAAATTAATGAGTTACTAAACTAATAAAACATTTTATCGATTGCTTGATGTATTAAATGATATTATTGCGCAGATATGATGTGTGAAAAAAACTAAAGAAGTATCGTTACTACTTATTTTATGAAGAATATTCAGCTCGTTTAACTGAAACAAGTTATACAACTTTAAACTTTCTTGTAATTGACTTAATAATGAATTCATTGAATATCATTATAAAGTACCCAAAGTAGTTGGGATTAAGGCCAGAAAGAAGAGAAGAAGATCATTAAAAAAAAAAATAATACACAGATTTTTACAATAAAATTACAATAGATAGTTTTTACAAAATATAATACATTGGACTAAAATATTCAAATTATTATTGCATAGCATATATCATGCAAAAAAATTCATGCAAGTGAAGCACGTGTCCCAGGATTCGTACATAGCTATTAGGGAATCTATTCTACTTCAACCCCTTCATTTGGCACAGGGTCGTCGCAATTATGATTTGCCTCGACTCCGCAAAACCTTATGCTGCCAGTGGACTAATATTATTAGTCTAATAATATTATTGTGTACACTTAAAGAAACAAGTTATTATATTTATATTTTAACTATAATATAAAAGTAACTTTAGCTACTACTCTAACTTAAGTTATCATTTTTAACAAAATAACTTATTCCATACATTAATATGATGTATTTAATATACACGTTATTTTACCCACAAATAGTATAATTTTGACATAAAGTATCGAATAGTCATACATAAATATAACATTTTTATCATTATTTATCCGTATTTTCTCATACATTGTGTATATTTAAAACTTCATATATATATATATATATATGAGGAAATTCGGAGTTTTTTAAAAAGTGTAACTAAGTTAGAAATTGGAAAATATCAAAAATTTACTTAAATTTATTTAAATACATCTTAAACAAAATGTTCATTAGAATAATACGAGAGCAAAATTTCCTTTATTACCAACAATTACATTACTATTTTTAGTTTTAGTATTAAAAATTAAAAAGTATTTCATGTGAATGTCAAAAAAATATATCAAGGAATAATATTCAACATTTTTTTATTAAATCAATATAAATCGTGATTAAAACTTAATATTAATCACTAAAATTATATTCATTTTAAATAGAAATATTTCGCATTAATAGGAGTCTTCTTGAGTTTATATATATTTAAAAAAAATATGTTAAAATTTTCATATAATAATATTTAATGCATACAATGCAAGAGAAAATGTTGATAGAAATGTTTGTGTACGAAATTTTGATACTTAATGTTAAAATTGCACTACTTGTGTGTAAAATTAATGTCTATATTAAACATATATAGTCGTGTTGAAATATTTGGATCATTTCTTACGCAGAACTTAATAGATTTACCATTTTTATGTGTTTAAATTTTATGTGTAATATTTTATTATTTTTGATAAAATTAAAAAAAATAATATAAATACGTTTTTTAACAGTGATTGGAAATCGCTCTTTGAAATGTATTGTGCTACATTTAAATAAAAAAAACTCAGCAAAGTGGAGACGTGGCATAGTTGGGTCCAGTATAGATTTAATCTGACAGTGATTAAAATCACTATCATAAGAAACGCTTCGATGCAAATCTGTAGATAATGTTTAATTCTAAGGAATTGGTGGATAATTACATAAGCATTAAATTTATCAGAAAATTTCGATTTTTTTTTACATTTTTATCTTTTAATACATTTTTTTATTTTAATAAATCACTTAAATAAAAACCATAGTTATAATTTTTAATTAACTTTTGGCATTTAAAAAGATTCTACAATGGAAATATTCAGAACTTAATTAATTTTAATGATTTACTTTAACTAAAAGAACCAATAAAAAAAAAGTTAAAAAGATTTACTCAATTGTGCATATTATAAAATTTGATTATAATTGTAAAAATCCATCGTTAAATTCAAGTGAAACTAAAAATCATTTTTTTTTTTTAATTTATGATTTATATAGCAACATGTTACAAAAAAATTTGGAATATTATACTGGTAGTAGCACACACAAATAGAGTTAAAAAATTAATAAATTACCAAGTAAAATTATTTACTTTTGTAGTTCAATACTTTTATCATATCAAATCTAATTCGTCAATAAATACTTTAAAATTATATTTATATTTGATATTTATTGAAGTTATTGAATCTAAATGAGATAAAAATCAAATGATTTGAAAATTTTTTTCTAACTCAAAAAAAACGCAAAATATTAAATCACACAGGCGGATTCGAACCTCGTACCCTTAACTGTGAAAGACAAAAGTGTTACCGATTTGGCAACTGATTGTTGTTATCTTAATTTGATAAAATTAGCTATTTAAGCTAAATCAAATTTAAAAACTACATTTTCGACTTTAAAAAACTAAAAAAAGTTCATAAGTTTAATTTTTTATGTCTTATGAACTTTATTCTATGTCAATTAAATTATATAATATTCATGAAAGTTAGTGTATTCCTCCTGCAAGATATTTTAAAATAAAATAAAATACAAAATCCAGAATTTTAACACAAAAATAGCATATTTTTGAATACAGTAACCATATTTACCAAGAAGAAAATGTATATTTCGAATTTTTTTTTTTTCATAGTGAAGTATATAGCATAAGTTTTAATTTAAGATTAAATAACTCTGTGAATATTTCCGGAACAACTTCAAATGTTAAGTTGAAAAAGTTCTATTTTTTTTACAATGTTTCAAGTTTTAAACGCCCCCTATATAAGGGAAAATTGTCTAACTTTAATAAAAAGTATGTCAAATGAAAGATGTACTTATAGTGTATTTAGTAAAAAAATTTGTGCTGATACATACACTTTTTGAAAAGTTATAGCATTTTAAAGTTGAAAATTTTAAATTAAATTTCAAAAATTTGAACACAAAAATACCAATTTTTAAAATACGGCAGCGGTTTGCATGCAGAAGATAAAGTGTTGGGACAATTTTTTTTTTCATAATAAAGTACATTACATTACCTTTAATTTAAGATATATATAAAAGTGTCAGTATTTCCGGAACACTTTCAAAAGTTCAGTTGAAAAAGTTAATTTTTTGTGAAAAAGTTGTCATTTTAAATCCCTCCCTGTGGGCTGGTAAAGAGTTTAATTTATAAAAAAAATATACCACATGATAGGTAAAGACATCAAGCATTTTTAGCAAGTTTAGCGACTCTATTTCCCATAAAACAATAATTATGTAAAGAAAATAATTTTTGTTGTTTCTTAATGTTATATATTATTTCATTTACCAGTTATTAATTACTTTTTAAATTCATCTTTTATACCTTATAAGGGTGTCAATATTATTTTTTAAAATTAAATCACACATTTAAAAAGTACATAAAATAAAATATGATTTAATTAAGAAAATGTCTGGTCGATAAAAATAAAAAAATCATCGTGTATAATAAAATTTAATGATATCATAAAGTAAATATAAAACGAAATATAATTATAAGCTATTATTTATATAATTTAAATATTCGAAAAAATATTCAATAACATAAAATAAATTGAGCGTAAACAAATAAAGCAACCGAATAATATTTTAGTTTACGTAATAGAATTATAATTTTAAATTAATTGTTATATTTTTTTATAAGGAGAGTTTTGTTTCATCGTCCTTATTTAACATTTTTTTAAAATAAAAATTATATTTAAAACTATTATTTATAATTAAATCTATTTTTTCACTCAAAAAATCAGCATAGGTCGTAGAATATTGTTGAGTTAGTTCTTTAAATTCTTTTTTATAATCGTTATCATTGGGCATCTTTTTTAAAAATTTGCATTTCTTTTTTGAAGACTGAAGCTTATGACTAAACAAAAGTTCTATAGAATCCCGATACATCTGTAAATATTCTATATAAAGATGATGTTCAATCACATTTTGTATTAAACACAACAAAGGACTTATATCCATTCCGATTTGGTTTGATAAGGATATATTATTTTCAGCTAAATGCCTTAAAAAAAAAATAAAATACTCATTTTTGTTAATTAATAAGTAAAGTATTTTATTATAATTTCCATTATTATTTTCACCATATAGATGATTAACATATTCATCGAACAAATATAGTAAGAGACGATTGATTGTTCTGATTTGTTCAAGGTATTTACACATTAGCATACCAGAGATCAGTTGTAATTTTTCTTCGTAATTAATAGAAGTCACCTTAAAATATTCCATTAATGCATACTCATTGGATGTTTCTACTCTTTCTTCATTAACGTTTCTATATTCGATAATATACTTTTTGTATTCATCGTTATCAAAAAGACTCTCAAAATAATATTGTTCTTTATCTTTTAAAAATACAATGCCATTGAAATCCATTATAGAAAATTGTCTAACGATATTACTAAGTTGAATAATTTTTTCTATGCTAACCAAAAAAACAAAGTTATCTAGTAAAAATAGAAAAATCACAATGATAATCACAATAAAATTATTTAAATGCATAGTAATAAAACCTTATACTCGAATAACTTTGTACTAAGCTAATACAAAATTAAATTGTATTATGTAAAAAAGTATAATACATATGTTTTATATACTATCTATTATTTTATATTTTCCGATTTTTTAAAAATAAATTTAATTTATAGTAATAATAATTTAATAAACATTACAATAAATTACTCAAAGAGCAAATACTTTTTAAATGCTCCTTTTCGTTTACTAGATGATTATTTACCATAAAAAATATCATTTGAACTATTTTTTATCAAATATACCATTTAAATATATTTAAAATAAATCCATAAAAATTCTCAAATTTTAAAGTAGTCATTGAAATACACGAATAAAATACATGTCTTTTTTTTACATTTCATATTTTTGATGAAATCTTATAAGTCACAGACATCAATGAATTAAGATGGCATACAAGGTGTGTGTGTCACTGTTAAAGCTCTCGTAGGTTACCTATCAGGGAACTAACAGCAAACAGCGCAGTTAAACACCAGCCTAAAGCGGCGGCTGAATGATCACTGCGCCACATCACGCACCATATTAAAGTGGCATCTTAAACTAAATCAAAGTTGGGTTAAAAATAACATATTGATCAGCGAAATTGATCCAGTGAGAATTTTTATGGATAGTCACAAAAAAAGACGAACATTATGGTAAATAAAATAATTTTTCAGTTTCGCATTGAATTTAAAAAGATCAATAAATATTGTTATGACACCATAGCGTTCAATTAATAACATTTGATTGTATAACTCGTTTGGGAATTCCATTTCACTAAAAACACAATTTTATTACTTCAAAATACATTCAAAAACCGTTATTAACCGAATTATCAATAGATTGTAAACCCGAAACCGAAACTATCAAAAAAATAAAAACCAGACCCCATTGAACTTTTCCAAACATTAAGCCATTTCTTGTCTATCATCATATTCTATTTAATTCGTTCAAAAATCCCCAAATATTATATTAAGCATTTTGAAAAATTTGTAAAATGCTTTTTTAGGAACATTTGTTGCATTAATAGTATATTTATATGATATAATGAGTAATTCATTTATTGAACAACAATAATATTTTTCTCGTTGTTGTTATTTACAGTACAAGTCATGTATGAAATTAATAAAAATTCAAAAACTGTTATAGGGTCTATAGGTTATTTGTTAATACATGTATTTTTAGTATTTTTAACAATAAAAGTAAACAAAAGAAAAATCGGTATTGACTACAAAATAGTCTATATATTATAGTATAATAGTTTATTATATTATAATAAAAAAATTCAATAATGATTGATTCCGTTGGCCATTTTTGTTTATACATATAATTAACGTATCATAGATTTTTATAAAATGTATATTTAAACATAGGCATATTAAGAACATTTTATGTTTGATAATACACGATGTTTCTTTGGGCTATTGATATAATATGATATTGATTATCATATTATAATTTATATTAAAAAAAGTTAAGAATAAATATTGTGAATAATCTTAGTTAATATGATTAAAAGTCAAAATAAATTAGATTCAAAAATAAACAAAGCTTAATATTAAAATTAATTAATTAAATTAATTGTTTATATAATCTACCATAATAAAAACATAGTTCAATAAAAGCATGCAAAACTTTATTCTATTAGGTTAAACGTTGAATAATTAGTATTAACTTAATATTATAATAATATTTCCTTTAGGGAGTTTTCGTGCCAAAAGCGCTTATACAATATCATTAAAGTACTAGAGATCTATGAAACCATTAACTATAAGTATATTCTAACATGGTAATAGTAACGGTTTGTTGACAACATTATTCAATTACCGGACATCTATTTGGGAATTTTGCATTATACAGCAAATTTTATACCTGCTTTTAAGTAAATCTAAAATATATTATTAAATAAATTATCATTTAAATTTAAAAGAGTTCCTTAAATTAAAGCCATACCATCGAATAAAATATTTTGTACTTAAAATAATTATTTTTAAATGTTCAATTTTATACATATATGAAGTAGACTTTAGATATTGGTACTATGGTAAGATTAATGTTGTGATCTTTTTCAAAAAGTTATTCCTTTTAAGAAGTAACAGAAATATCCCTTTTTTTATTTAATCATATTTTTAATAGTTAGTTTAAGTAAAAATTTTAATATCAACAAATTTTTTTCATCATTAAATTTTCACAATTATATTTTTAAATGAAAGTTAATTTTTTTGTTAAAATAGTTTACAAAAATTGGTTTTATCCATATAATAGAATTATATGTTATTATTTTTGGATACCATTTATGCTGTATCAATATAATTTACCGTACCTTCGTCTATATTTTTTATTTTTCTAAATTATTATAAGTAAGTTTTGCATTTGTGAATAACTTATAAAATATTGATGATTTTTATAAAGATTTTGAAAGTCTAAACAAACTCTTTAAGGTTTTTTTTTATAATAGCTAAATCTGAGCGCACATTAGAGAGCCAGGTAAAGTACTAGCAATGCTAATATATTTTAACACAAAACAATTTACATTGGTTTTGTAACTCCCGTATGTATGTTTTCTCTTAGGATAGGTATGTAATATTTGAAACACGTATTGAAGACTATAAAAAAATTAGTTCTGAATGTTATGCCATTCCAAAATGAAGAGAAATTTTCATAGTTTTTATTATTGTGACTGACTGAATGACTTTATCAATCATCAAAATGTTAAGACACTTTTCCTGTAGGTAGAAATGTGGAATTTGGCACAATGACAGGTATTATAGTGGAATTAAGGGGAAAAATCTGAAAATTGTTATTTTTTCCAAATTGTACGGTTATTTAACTACATAATACACGTCATTTAAAAGTGGCAGGGTGGACAATCGCTCGTTCTCATTTTTTAGTTGTCCATGAAAATTATATATTTTATTGGCTTAGCTAGCAAAACAAAGTTATATCCTCAACAAAAACCTAACCGTGAAAAAGAACAAAGTTGCAACACTTCCCTCTTAAAAATGTCTGTCTATCAAAGTACTAATATTTACATAGTGTTCGCTCCTTTTTAAGTTTATAAACTTCAATCCTATTTTCATAAGGAACACTTCTATTTTATTCATTTTGCTTAACACTTGGCCAGTTTTTGGTCAAGTATTGGCTTAGTATTATTATTTAGAAATAACATGGGAGATGGAAATAAGATAATTCAAAAGAAATAAAAAAAGTTTAGATCACTTCATGAGATTTATTGGAAATTATGACGAAACCTGTTTCATGTCTCATTCAAAAACTTTGGCCAAGTAATAAGTAATACGATTGAAGAAGGATTGTTAAAAGTAGGATTCAAATTTATGAACTAAAGAATGAGTTAACATGGCAACTTTATAGATATTACTATTTTAATAAGCTGATTTCTTTCGAAGGAAGGGGATTTTCACTAAAGATATTATTTATTAAAATAATCTATTTTTTATTTTTTTTTTTTGAGCCGAACAAAATTATTATTAATGCAATTAATGCAATTAATAAGTTAATATATTAAATACTAACTACAGTTTTCAAAAATAATTTTTAAATGATTTAAATGGTATATAATAAAGCAAAATAAATAAAATATCAAAAATTTACAAGCTTTATATTTTATTTATTTGTATGAATATTAAAATTAGTTTCTTATATAGGAAGTATTTGTGTTCACAATGGACCAACAGGTCGAGTGCATGGGTATAATGTCTACCTCAATAATAACTAGAAAGTTTTTGGATTTAAGGAAATTAGATCAAACGAAACATTTTAAAAATTCTGTGTAAATTGGTTTACCAATGATTTTTGTTCGATAAAAATCAGGTTTTAAATAAGTAAATTTTAGAATCGGCTAAGAATTTTCATTGAATTATTTTTTTATCGACGTAGTGAATTTTATTTCTATCAAAATTATAAATCTAATTAATTTTCTTAAATGTATTTATTTTGATTTTGTCGAAAAGAAAAATTTATACACCCATTTTTTAACTTACGAAGCAAAACTTAAATATTTTGTAATATTTATTGCAAGTTATTTTAATAAAAACCTATTAATAAAAAATATATATCATTATGGTTTTTTGATCCTTTAATTATGATTTTATTCGCAAACAAATATTCATGTGCCTGTTTACAGTTCATTGAAAAATACTGTCAATAGAAATAGATGATTGTAAAAAAAAGTATACCAATATATTGTTGTTGAGTGCTTTTACTATATTGAAGTATATTCTCAATTGTGATTGCTAGATCAAGTTGGAATAATTGAAGATCTTATTTTTAAAATTAATTATGTACAAAATAATTTATGAATTATAATTTAAAGTTTTGTTGTAATTATATACATATAAATACTTTTTTATCTTAATTATTTGTTATAATTAGTTATTCACTCTGTATATTATTATACAAATGAGATGGAAAAAATTCTAAAATTGAAAATCAAACTATGCATGGAACTTTATTTAATCTTGTTTTCAATAACATGTCATATTTTACTAATTAAGGTAATTTACACAAAAGTAATTTTTACTTGTGTATATTTGCATTATTAGCAAAACATGTGTATAGACATTCATAAAATACGTTATATATCCGCGCATTATAATTAAAATTTTTTTTTGTAATATGTCAAATACCTGGACATTTTTTTATTATTTTATTATTATCGTATTTTTGATTGAATAATCTTTCAGTATATGAGCATTGTTAGCATGTTCACTAAAGCTTACATGATTCCAAACGAAATGAGGAAGAGTAATTTTTAAAATAGTACATAAGGGATTTAAAACAAAAACTTCTAAGACGTATGTTAAAAAAATATATGCTTATATATTTTTCCAAACAAATATGTTTTTATGTAAAATATCTTCATCGTATTCCCCCCAACACTTATTTATTTTTCCCATTATTCTTCTTAGGAATCACGAGGTCTTTCTTTATTTAGTGTAATGTGTCTTAGTTATATATTCAAACCTATAGTTTTCATAAAAAATAAAAAAACACACTAAGTTTTCCCGTAATAGTTAAATAAAAAATATATTTTTGTAAAGGGCTTATATGGAGTACATTAAGCTGACAATAAATTACTTAAGTTAACATTTCGTATCTAGAAACATCACAACTTTAAAAATGAATTTTTTGTATTAACAGAGAACACATTTTTTATGTGATAGAGTTTTTGGACTAATGTTTTTTTATAAATAATATAGCAGTATTAATGGTGAAATATAATATGTAATTTACGTGGAAGTAGTTTACTAACATAATAAATCGTTCTTCATTATTTGTTGAACATATTTCTAGAAAGTCTCAAAAGTAAAGGTTACATAATAAAACATTATTCAATCAAAAAAGTTTTGAATAACAATGATTAAAAACTATCCATATATTGAATGAACACTTTCAAATAATAATATCTAACAAATTAATAATGTTTTCTCAATTCTCTAGAGATAATATATTTCTAACTACAATATAGCTAAAATTTCCCAATGCTATATTATGCAGTCAAGAACTTATAAATACGTCTAGTATTAAGTTGTAGAGATAAATTTAAATTTATATTATAGAATGAATAAATGTAAACTAAATAGGCTAGATAGGAATACAATGAACATTAAAAATACGATTTAAGTTAACCTATGTTATATATAATTTTGTATTGATTTTATACTCATATTTAAATTACTTACTAGAAAAGTCCTAGTGAACTAAATTAGTTGATTTATTTGAAGTATTAGATAATAAAAATCATGTAATAATTTTGTACTCTGATACTGAACTTTTTGTTTTATATTTGTTACCTAAAATATTTGTAAGGTAACGTGTGCACAGTTATGTATAATAGTAACCCTTTTATTAACGTATTATTCATATTTAAAAAAAAAATTGTATGGCTTTGATAAAACTTTAAAGTACAACTGTAAAATCATTTTTTTGTAAATATTAATTGTTTAATTTAATTTCATGTTCCATTATTTTTATGATGTAACAAATTTTTACATATTTGTGTTTAGTTTATGTAATTGTATATTGATAGTTATTTTAAGCAACAGCCATTACTTTTTCTATATATTTTATTACAGCTTTCAACATTTTTATTTTGTGTTAAATGTTAATTTATGAAGTTATTATTCTGAGTTATTATTATAAATTAGAAGTAAAGATATAAAATGTTAACATTTAGAGTAATCTTATTTTGAATATAATACACACCAGGTGCTTTTTTTTAACAGATTATTAATAAATATTTCTAACTTCAATAAAATTGTACAAATTGTATCTTTTGATGACAAAGAATCTTTAAAAGTATTTTAAAGCAATTATACATTTTACATCATTTCTTAGTCTAGAACATTTAAATATTCAGGAGCTGAATTTAAACTATTCAAATTATAATTAAACCTGGCGAAAATTAACTAGATATTTGAAATATTTATGAGAGAAATGACTATAATTTGAATAATGCTTATATGAATTGTTGACTCTAATATTTGGTATACATTAGAAGAATATTTTCCGGTTAAGTAAAAAAGGAGAAAATATTTGGTTTTTATAGTATTAGCGATTACATTATGACGATAACTTTTACCAAGATGAAACAGCAGTTTTGTAATTTTGGGTGATAAATAATAAACCGTGACACCTAAAAGGACTGCATTATGATAGATATACGTAATTATTAATAGGAGTATTATGAAAATATAAACTAAAGAAGACGTATTACTTTTTTTTGGTACATGTTTATATAGTATTCGCATTATTTAAATTGAAATTTTATACACAGGTAGTTTAATAATTTTGCATACTAAAAATATAAAACCATTAAGAAATATTTTTTTATATATTAAATAATATAAATGTTCGATAAAAAGTGAAATAGTCATGTTACTTTAAAATTTTTTAACAGATTACTTGGCTTCAGTCCATTTATTACCAAGGAGAATAAATTATGACGAAAAAGAAAAACGTTTGTAACGTTCAAATGATCTATGCATTACACTTGTGAAGCGATAAATGCAAATAAAACTGACAACAAATAAAACGCTCGTACAAGTGACAGGTTTATCTCGTATATAAAATTAATAAGATAAAAGGGTTTTTACATCATTAATTTGAAAATTCGTCAGATTAATGACATTTTGTATAAATCCCAAAAATATATTACACAAATATTTACTGGATTTCTACTGTTTTGGCTTCAATGCGAAACTAAAAAGGTATACAATTTACTATGATGTGTTTTTATTTTATTTTTTATTTTTATGTTGAATGCTATAAGTTAAAAAAGAAAATTGTCCCGGCGACCTATCTTTTATGCGGAAATGGCCGTCGAAGACGAACAAATTTATTAAATATTTATTCATATATTACACTTATATATCATAAAACTTGTAATTAGGATATAAATAAGGAAATAGGAGCTAATATTGCTTTTGAAATAATCCATCAATTTCTTAAAAAAAAACATCAAAACATTAAACACTATAGATTTGCATCGAAGCGTTTCTTATGACAGTGATTTTTATCACTGTCAGATATCACCTATACTTATCCCAACTATACCACATCCACTGAGTGCTGCAAACCCACTGTAATACGGTTTTTTTTTTAATTTAAAGATTTTATTAGAAATTTAATTACACAAATAAATAAAATCGGTCAGATTACGATACTAATATATAAAGTTAGTTTAATGTTACTATATTTTTGTTTGTTTATTAGTATACATTATAGAAAAAATTCTAGGTAAAAATCTAAGTAATATAATAAAATATGATACTTTTACAATCTTATGTCAATTAATAACAGTTCTAAGCTTATAAGTTTTTAACTAAATAAATGTCACACATTTTTAAGAAAAAGATTGGGATATTAAATATAAATGACTTATAGATATTTGTTTTATAATTCTTAAAAAAATAAATATATTCGAATTTAAACTGTGTTATACTCATAAGATAATTTACTTTCCATATTATAAATGCATAAAAACTTTAAAAATGCATCAATTTATACAAATTTTGAAAATTAACATGAATGGCATCTAGCACAGAGTAATTTACTTAACATTTCTTTTTGTATTCAAAGTTAAAATCATTAACTGTGTATATAAAATATCTATTCATAGAATGATTAACTAATATTTTAATTGTACATTTATCTTAACATTAATTTTATGTTTGGTCTGATTTAAGCAAGTTCTTATTGATAATAACGTTTAAAATCATGAAATAATAAAATGAACTTGTGTTAGTATACTAACAGATATGTGATGTATAATATAGTAATTCAAAAAAGTCAATCTAATAAAAATAAATATTAATTTAGAACTGGACTTTATTAAATGTATAAGGTGTTGATTAAGTAAGGATACAGGTTTCTATTGTTCTTATTGTTTGTAACAATTGACCTGTTTCCTTACTTGCTGAACACTCTGTATTTTGGTTTCCCACGAGGATCAATTAGCGTTGATATTTTTTTAAACTCTAAGTGAAAAACATTCTTTTTAAATTAAATTGTTCCAACAAAAATAAATGTAATACCTGAGATATTTTTTTGTTTTAGTTAATTAGAAAACTCTCTTGAGAAATCAAGTGTAATTACAATTACAATATAGCGTTTGTACTTTTAATCTTTATAAAACTAAGTGAATATAATTTTTATGTATTTTGTATGTAAGAATATAACAAGCTATTCAAAAATACTAATTAGATTATTATAAATTTAACTTTTAGGCGGAATTTCTGTTTAGAAATTTTATTTGATAGCTGTATTTTTAAATTGTAGCTTAGAAAAATAATAATAAATATTTCAATAGATGCTTTTAACAGGTTATTTTCATAACCTGTTAATATGAACAATTTATATATATTTATTTGAATGTGTTAAGGCTTATTAAATTTTTGATTATTATATTCATATTACCGGCACATCTCACTTATAGACTATTTGTAATTTATTTATTAAAATTTTGTTCTTTCCCACATTAGTTCTGATCATTTCATAAAATCTCAACTATTGGTGAATCCAATTTTTTTTATTTATATGCTTTTATGGCCAGAAGTCCATGTATCTCACAAATTTTACATAAGATTAATACTCACGTGATATTACACTAAGCTAATATGGTCTGCGTCTAAGGTTTTTTTATTTTTATTATAAAATGTTTAGTTTTTCATAGTGGTTAACATAAATGGTAAGCAACTGCTTTCCAATAATATATACAAAACAGTTATTACTTTGTCAATTTATTATCAGAAATCTGAAACAAGGGGAAATTTTTTGTTGTTCTCTGATGAAAAATTCACTATAGGTGTTTTACAGTAGAGTCTATACTGATAATAGAATTGACATTAATATGGGTTTATAAAAATGTTCTATATTTGTACCTTTCGAAACTCGCGCAGTATTGAAACTTTTAGTTTTTATTAAATAAATATTCAGTCAACTGGTAATGATTTTTATTATAGTAACAGTGAAAACTTAATAATTATTGTACATTCGTGTAAATTGGCTAACCGGTTAACCAATTTATTAGTAAAGGCTTTTACTAATTAACCTTTTGTCAAAGTTGATGTAGTACAGAAATTCTTAATTGACAAACATGTTGTCATTTTAAATCCTCCCCCGTGGGCTGGTAAAGAGTTAAATTTATAAAAAAAATATACCACATGATAGGTAAAGACATTAAGCATCTATAAAAAAAAAAATTATAGTGATTTGTTCATTTTTGAAAAAGTTATGGCAGTTTTAAATAAAAAAATTTTCGAAAATTTCGAAAATTAGCGATTTTTAAATTTGTAATTTTTTTGGAAGTTTCGCCCATTTACGGGAAATGAGAGAAATTATTTCAATTTTTGAGGGTAATGTCTTCGACTAGATACGATTTATGATCTTTTGATGTATCGTTGAAAGAAATCGGTTCGGTGAAAGCTGAGAAAAAGTGGTAACAATCACAAAATAAAAAACACATCATAGTAAAATTAATACCTTCTCAGCTTCGCATCGAAGCTAAAACGAATATTACGTGAAAATAATCATATTTGATGAATATTGTACTACATTTGAAGTATTTAATACTTAAATCATTAACCCTTTTTGAATACATTGTTAGATACTATAATATAAAATCATATCGAAGTACATAAAATAGTTAAAAGTGGATAAGTAAATAAGAATCAAATATTTATCTTGTTATAGTTAACGAGCAATCATTTTGATTTAGGTTGATTCAGTTCGGCTAATAAATCTTTAGTGGTTTAGAATTAAGAGATAGTGACTACGGCGAATTTGATAGCTCTTCCAACTACGTGATCGTTGTAGTTCTTAACTGACACTAGGGAAGCATTTTAGTCTTTTAAGTCTCTTTTGACTAATGTTGTTACTATTACTATTTCAACATTAGTAGCGTCTAGTCGTTTATTTATTTAAAGAACTTTGATCTATACTTTAACGGTATTATTTAAACACCAAATATACAATGTATGCTCAATATTTTCATATTTTCATTAATATAAATTTTTTAAAATCTCTTTAAATCCAACAATGTGATACTATTCTCAGAGAGAAAGAACAAAATTTCAAGATTAGTGCTCTAAATAAAACAAAAATCGACTTCGAGTATTAACATTAGGTACTTTGAAATTAATTTTTTTTACATTTAAGAGCAGTCAATGCTACAATTAAGAAATTTAAATATAGGAAACATATAATTTTATTTTTGTTTAGCTTTTAAGGAGTCTATGTTATAATTTTGTTCAATATCAATAATACAATGGTTATTCATGTTCATTTTATAACCAATAAGTCGTATAAAACATTGTGGAATTTTTTCTAATTATTTATTTAGACCCAGCTGATTACCAAATCAGAACCACAGAACCAAATTCTAAACCGTTGCATTCTAAAGTGTTTTTAAACATTTCAATTCCGCTTGATAAAACCGAAAAACCTGTATGCAAATAGAAGTAATATGTTCATTAAATGTAATACGTTTCGTAAGTATTACACCCAAATCTTTAATTATTTTTACAACTTCAAGTTCCATGTTGTTAAGAATATATTTATAACAGTTTAAATTTTTTTTATGACAAGATATTTGTCTGCATTTAATAGCATTAACAGTTAACCCAGATTCAGAGCACCAATTAATAAATTTATTGACATTATTCTGCAATTTGAAGCAATCATCGGAAGACTTCATACATAAAATTTTTTAAAATCATCACCAAATAACAGAAATTAATTGTTTTTAAAAACTGTACTTAAATCATTAATAAATAACAAAAAAAGAACTGGGGATTATATACTCTAATAATTTGTATTCTATCCCTTATGTATAAGGAAATCCATTTAAAAAATTATAATTTAAACTGTGTGCATGCGAGTGATATGTAACTAACCTTCCAAATTTTAGAGAAAATGCCAGAGTTTAAAGATCCATTAAACAATATAAAAATCGGATATGCTAATGAATACCGACAATTTTTTAAAATATTGCTGGAATTAATTCTGGTCCAGGTTTAAGATCATTATTAAATTCTCGTAGCTCTTGAAAAATTTCTGTTAGAGTAAGAAAATATTCAGATAAATTAGCATGATTAACATTACAGGATTTACCATTTGAGGTTTAGTTGAAATCAGAAGCATAAAAAGAAAAATATACGAACTAAAACTTTTTCCTTTGTTAAGTTATTATTAGCTTTTAGGTTACCTAATTCCATCATAGCTGTTAAAACATTATTATTTTCCTTAAAATAATGATTTTACTTAAAATCAATTATTTGAAATATATCGGAGTATAAAATTATGTAAACATTATAAATATTATATTACAATTATTATTTATCTTATTAATTAATTATTTTACAAGTGATTGTCATTACCGTATTAATTTATTTTAAACCAAACTAGGAATAAACTTTTTTTCTGGTTATTTTTTTAAACAAGACTAAATATTAATATATTTAAGATAATCATATTAACTAGAGTATATTCGCTTGAAAAATATCGCTTTTGAATTTTGTATTCTACGGAAACACGAATATTATGTGAGATTTATATGTGATCATTGTGAACTAAAAATACGAGTAGCTTATATAAATAATGTTTTGTATAGACTTTTGAAAATTTATGTTATTTATTTTAAAATTGAATTTTTTCTTCAGAGCGGTAAATCGGTATTGAAGTTTATTTTTGATTATAGATAACCCATTAAATCTCTCATAAAATGTTACAGTAAGTACCTCTAGGTTAAAAGTACTATTTTTATCGTTAGTGTAAAAAAATGAGTTTATACGAGTAATCAAAAATCGAACGTTAGAGTTTATTGTTTTTACTATAGTGGGTCAAAAAATAAGACAATTTCATTTATTTTGATTACTCGGTTGTATTATACTATGTTTTTGTATTAGCAAAACAAATATTACGTGTTCAATTATAGTTACAACTAAACTCACATAGAACTTGTTAATTGTTTGACTATACGTGTAATGTAATATGATTCCACATTTAATTGTTATTTTTAATATTCAATGACTTACCTATTGCGAAAACATGACGAATTTTATTTTGTTATTACTATTGATATGGTTATTATTGAAAATTAAAAGTCACATTTATCGAAATTCACTCGAAACCTGAACAACGGCCGTTCAACAACCAGCGCGTGGTGTCACACTGTAATGCAAAGGCGAGCGCTGTGTTTTGTGCCGTTATCGTGTCTAGTAGTGCCAAACGCGGTGGATAGGAATTATTCCACCCCACCACTGAATACCCGCGATAAATTTTAGATAGATATTTCCCTTATTCCACATTAATGCCATTTGATTTTTCGAAAAATATAAGTTTTATCCATGTAAAAAAAAAAAAAATAAAATAAAATAAAAGGTAACAATTTTATTGTTTTATTACATATATACTTCAAAGTTTCTTATAAAATTTTCAAGCAACACTGGTTGGACACAACTAGTTATTTGAATAAGTTATTATAAATTAATATTAAGTAATACTTCAGGTCATATAGGCACAAGGTATGTTATTGATTTTTGAAGATCAATATTCATGTTATTGTCCCGTCTTTAAAAATTGATGTAAATTTTTTTTAACTTTTTGTTTAAATATTCTGAAACGAACTACAATGATTTGGGAAAGTTTAATTCTCAGAATTAATTTGACTTATTTAATTATGCATCATAATGTATTTAATAACTTATATAAACAATAAACAATAATGTGGAAATATGAAAAATTATTATTGTAAAAAGCACAATTTTGAAATATCAGAAGAAGAAAATTATTAGTTTTATTAAAAGGTTTTTGTTCTAATATTAACTAACACAAAAATATTCGTTAAATATTAAATGTCCTTTTCAAAATTCGGAAAAAATGTTTGTTTAAAAAGAAAGAATTTTTATTCGCTGTCATGGAAAACTGTGGCATATGACGTTTATATAAAAATTTTACCGTATAGTTTTTGTCAAAACTAAATAAACTATTAAGACACCATTTCAAGGTAATCGTATGATCGATAGGTTAGATAGTATTCATTTTATCAGACTTAATAAATACATCTAACGAAACACTTATAATGTTAAAAAGAATATGGTTTTTCAATAAATTTTGACGTTTTATAATAACTCTTTTTGCTTTCGAGTGTGCATTAATTAATTTTCAATTGCTGAAGTTTATTTTTAACACTGTAATAATTGTGTAATAGCTCATGTTTTGTCGTATTTACTAATTAACATCTACCTACGCGAAGACTATTCATTTTTAATATTGAATTGCAATTAAATTTTATGCACATATATTATTGTACAATAAATTATTTAATAAGCATTTTTTTAAGTTTTGTGCTGAAAGTTGTGTAATCTGGTTAATAATATTGATTATTTGATAATTAATTATAATTTAAATTATTTAGTTGATCTATTAGTGAAATTAAATATAAAATAGGATCATTTTATAAAATAATGTAATTAGTGTTTTTATGTTATTGGCAGTATAATACACTTATATTTAGCTAAAATTACATTAACCCAATATTGCATTTTATACAATAGTAGTAATCTATCAAATGTAAATTTAATAGATGGCTAGTAATAACACTATCAAAATCGAAATTATAACAGCCTAATTTACGACAGAACAAAGAAAAGTTGCATTTATTTTAAACATGTAATTCATACATTTAATAACAAAATATTTTTCATATAAATTGAGATGTATAACTATGACTTATTATACAAGTAATTATCTACAATATATTTTATTATTAATTATTTCAACTATGACTTCATTATTTATCAATTAACGAATTCAATAATCATAATTTATTTTTAGAGTACTCTGTTATAATATCTTTACAGACCTCTTGTTGATAACTTCAGTATTTTTTCAATATATATTTGAAGTGACGTTTGATTATTTCAATTAATATCCTATGTATAATATGTATCGTGTTACCTACTTTTTTAACAAATTACAAGTGCAATGTAAGTATTTAACATTGATTTTGTAAGTGTATAATATTCTAACACGGCGTTCAGAGTAGATGATTTGACTACATTGATGTTTTAAGGGAAATTTTAAGTATGTTGAATTTGACATAAGCTTTTGAATAGTAAACTCTGCAATCAACTAAAAAGTAAGTTCAAATATTGACTTATCGTAAGTCAATATTAAATGTTATGTAAAACATAATAACAGTTTACATACTAGTATTCTTTATAGTGAATACATGACACAGTACGTTTCTTATATTTTTATAATACTTTTAAGAAACCACACTGAATAAATTATATATTTATACTGTGTAGTTGAAGAATATTCTCAATAAATATTATGTTTTATGCTTTAAACGAACCTTTTCTATTGTGATGACTCGATGAATTAAAATGCTATTTTATTATGCCGTTTAAAGTATGAACTTTAAAACCACGTATACCGTTAAAACATCACAGCAATAATGTAGTAAAATTATAGCGTGTCAAATATCATAACTAATAATATCAAATTTATAAGTATTTACATCACTTTGTAACAAAAAGTTTAATTATCTACGTGGAAAGTGGTGCTAGTTGATACAGGGTATTAGTCGGTAAAGAAAATACTTTTTTACTCAAGGTATATTCATTTAATTTATTGGCTTTATGAGTATTTCCTTTGAAATGAAATATTAAACCAATACATTAAAGTTTAAACTATTTTACACACACCTTTTAACATTTACTTCATTGCTTAATTACTCTTTAATACTTTATTTATTTTTAACATCCTCTCTGGAAAGCTAGTCTTGTGTTAGAGGAACGGAAAATTTATATAGGCCAACGCAAAGAAACACCGGAACTTTTGCATTGAGGCACGACGCGTTCCTGACTGAGGTAAGTATTCCCCTAAAAAACAATGTTGAGTGGTTTCTAGATACGATAATTAGCAACAAAATACTAAACTTGTATTTCATCTAGATAAATAAAATATTTCTCATTTTAATTTTATCGTATTAGTACTTTTAATTTTTTACTAGTTGACGTTTTGTTTTCCTAATAATCAAACCATATAAATATGTTTCTATGATATTTCTTAGAATAAATATTTTTACTTACAGTCTCTACAGCAACTAATCATTCGGTGAGTTTTATTCGGAATCATAATAGCGGCTATTTTCTTACAGATATAGTTAAAAATTATTATCACTTGTTATCGTTATTATGACATTTCTTAATAATACTATTTATTATTTAGAATAAACGATACTCCGTTACTTTTTTTTTTTACTTATAGAACTTATTAAATATTTAAAAATAAACTTGAGTCATTATAACAATATTTATAAAATGAATCGTGTATCTAATTCAATCATGTATAATTGAAACAAATTGAATAATGTATGCATTTTTTAATATTTTGATTTCAAAATTTAAAACCCGAATTTCAAAGAAATACAATAATTTTGAGTATTTAATAGATTTTAAAGGTCATGAGTCTAAAAATTAATGTACCTGCATATTTCAAACAATTGTTTTTACCTTAAAAAAGTAATGGTATGCAGACCCTTTTACATAAACAATGTTGAAATTGGCATTTTTATTATATGAGTTGTTTAGCCACAAAAGAACGTGATTAATATATTTTTTTATTTCTTTTATTTTGCTTTTTCTTGACAAATAAGATTATAACGAGTCATGAAAAAAAGAAATGTAGTCACTTTCTTTTGCTACAAAAGACGGACTCATATTTGAATTTATAAATTTTTAGTGGACATTTAAATAACAAGTAATCGTTAGTTGTTTAATAACTACTTGAAAGTTATTCTTTTATATCTATAGGAACCTCATAAACATATTGTATTTACTATACCATTTGTCAGAATTTAATGATGTTAAGAACTTTATTTGCTATATTGAATCAATGTAGCAATACATCATGCATTATTGTATGAATAAAAATATAGATTAAGTTAATTACACATTCAACTAAACATTTAAATTTTTAATTTAACGTAAGTTACTTGTTCAAAGTAAAAATATATATCTGTTATTGGAATAAAACATGCAGAGTGGTCGGTTTATCATAAACCGCTTGTCTATTTCACTCGTGAATTTCAAAGTTATTAATAATTTAAAGTAATGACTAGAGATGAGGAGTAGGTGCAGCTATTTTTATTAGTAGTCTATCCGGACCGTACTCTTCGTCCCGACAAGATAAACGAGAATGACTCTAAAGTAATGGTCTAAAAGTTATTATCAACGAATAAAAGTTTATGTTGCCGTTAAAAAATTTAATTTGACACTCCTTTAAGTTGTATGGGATGATTATAAAATATAATTAATAGCTGATAAATCAAAAAATAAGAAATCGAATTTTCTTTTAATATTGTATTTATTTTGAGAGCAATGGAGTAGTTTATGATAAACCGGTCATTATGTATAAAGTAAGTGTTATTAGTTCTGGTAAGTTCATAATTAGCGTAGAAATTTAAGTCAAGGTTTTTTAATTAACTAATCAATATTACTACGTTGAAAAATCCATACTTTTTTGTAAAATATATACTCAGTTTTTATTATTATAACCAACCAATGAAAAATAGATTCTTTCATGGGGACATGTTTAGAAAGTTTGCATGTCATACACTTAGTTTCTATTATGTATAAGGCAAGCAAACCTACTGTCCATCTATGGCAGACATCGTACAGGTAATATTCCATGGTTAATATTTAAAAATGTCATATATTTTAACCAAGAGAAACTTGAAACACGCAATGGACAAATGCCAATTGTAAATTATTAATAAGATTGATTACCAAAAAATACTTTCATCAAAATTGAAAAGCGATATCAAGCGTCTACCTTCCCAAGCTGTAGTGACTTCCAAAGTCCTAAAGATTTCGCTGCATTATTATTTTAAAATAATTTTACTTTAGACAGAATTTAGACATTAAATATTATTAATTTTTGTAATTTTATCAAAAAGAGAATTATTTTTTAACATAACACATGTTGGTCGATATATTTTACTGTAATACTAAGCAAATAATTTCTGCATAGCTGTTTAGTTAAAAGTTAAAACGTAATAATGTGAACTCACATTATTATTTAAATGAAATGAAAATAATTTTTATAAGTAAATTTTGTACAGTTAATTTAAAAGTTAAACGCTATATACTGTGTGATTTAATAAGAATACTACTCTCATATTTGCCATTAAAAAATGATTATTTCATTAAAATATATTTGTTAAAATTTTATTAATTTTTATAAAATATGAAAGATATCAAATTTATTGTAAAAAAATTGTTTCGAATGATTTTTTTAAGGTTAATTTATTTAATTTAGGATAAAGTTAAATAGGAACCTATAATTATTTTTATGCATTTAAATGTGGATGAAACTAAATAAAATTACTATATTTTAATATTACTTCCTAGATAGTAGAGTTTTTTAATATCGGTGAGAGGGTTGTGCACATAGTATTATTTTCATATGTGCATAATAAGAGAAATAGAGTATTGTTTAATACTTCACCGCTCCTCGCGTTATTTAAATTTTTAAATGCTAATATCTCAAAAACAATACTAAAAAGTTGGTTGTGTTCAAATTTTATTTAGACTATTCCTTATTTAGTTTTTAAAATAATAATGCAAATAATTATAAGTTTCCTTTTAACTTTCGAAAGTTACCCCAAGAAACTACACTCATAAAAAGTTTTTTTTTAACTAACTTGATATTTACTATATAATGGTTTATAGAAATAAATGCATATTATTAGAAGTTCTTATTAAAAAGTAAATGTTTTATTGAAAAAATCGGGGATAGTATTCTTAATATTTCACACTGTATAATAATTTATTAAATATTTATAGAGTTAAAACAAACACTAATAATAAAAATTAACAAAAGAAAAATTAACAAAAGAAAGATTATTTTATTAATTTAAAAAAATTATAATGAACTTACTACAGTATATTTTTAATAAAATGTATGATTTCAACAAAGGTTTTTTTAAACACTTCATAAATAAAGAATATTAATTAAATAAAAAATGACTGAACTATGTAATTTAGAAAACTCCAAGTTATGTGATACATTAGCCAGAAATAATGTTCCGTACCACACGATTTTTAATACTTGTACTAGACATTATAAATTATTTAACTTTGTAAGTAGTTTCTCAAACAATTTAAACAAGGTAGCTATTATACTTTATATGGCATACTGCCATAAAAACATAATATAATAGCGAAGAAAATTTAAAACTTTGTATTTATATTATTGTTCAAGTATAATTTAGTAAAAATGTGTCTCAGATATGCTTTTGATGTTGTTATTTAACTTTAAAGTTAAATCATACCATAAAATAGATGACTTTAGCTTAAATATTATATTTATTACATAGGTTAATTTTCTTATAAATTTATATTTTCTAACAAAAAAATGTGTTTTATTAAAAGTTAACTTAATTCTTTGGCATATTGAATATTGGAATATACAGTTTGTGGAACGAAATTGAACGTCAATATCTGCACACTTAGATACGATACGTTTCAAGTTGAATTTTATTAGTCACTTATTTCATGATACATTCAGAATTTGCCACAAATAGAATAATACTCAATAATTATTATTACTGTACCTTTAAGCTGCATAATTAATATGTAGCATGCTTGCTAATTAATGAGGATGGCTTAAATTCATATTCTACGCCAGTAGGTAGTCTACCTACGTAAGAGATCTACCTACTAAAAGCCTAAAAAATATCTGTTCAAACTAAATTGGCAAAAGTAGCTATTTAATGAGTTAACAGATAAATATATAGAGTAAATATTTCTCATATAAAATACGTAAATATTTAAAATAAAAAACATATTTAAATATTAATTTAAAGTTTTCAAGTTTTATGATATATTAGTGTAATATATGAATTAATATATAATAAATTTAAATTTATTTATCATTTAATATTTAATAATTTTGTTCAACTTCGAAGGCCATAGAAGATAGGTCGTCGGGACAATTTTATTTTTTAACTTACAATTTTTAACCTTAGCTTTAATTTAGCATATAATTAAAGGCCGCATTTTTTCCGGAACATTTTAAAAGTTAAGTTGAAAATATTGACTTTTGTGAACAAGTTCCTAGTATGAGTCCCCCTCTGTAGCCAGGTAAATAGTCACGTTTTCAAACGTGACTATTATTTTAATTATAATTATTTTATATCAAATAAAATGTAAATACGTAAGGTTTTTATACAAAAAAATTATTTTGATTTGTTCATTTTTGAAAAAGTTTTGACTGTTTTAAGAAAAAAAAGTCAAAGTTTCTAGAATTTAAAAATTGTAATTTTTATAGAGATTTCCCTCATTTACAGGGAACGAAGGAAATTATTTTAACTTTTAAGGGCAGTGTCTTCAATTAGATACGATTTGTGATCTTTTGACGTATTGCTGAAAGAAATCGGTTCGGTGAGAGCTGAGAAAAAGTGGTGTCAGACATGAAAAAAATGAAAATACACATTGGAAAACTATTACATTCTCAGCTTCGCATCGAAACCAAAATATAATAAAATATTTAAATCATCTACTACGGAAAAATCGCGTATACGTATTTCGGAAAGAATGTCACCATTATCAAAGTTAAATAAAACTAATATATGTAGTAAACACACAGTATGCGTTTAATACTAATGATGTTGACATTATTTCCGATATACGTATATACGATTTTTTAGTAATTCTTGTTGCTTTTAGAGTTAAATATTTTTTATTTTTTAATTAGTACTTTAAACATATTTTTATTTTAAATAATAATAGCCTAAGTCATTCTCGCTGTGGATAGGGGATAAGAATACTTTCACGACCCCTCTGCCCGTCGTAAGAGGTGACTAATGAGGTTAGGTCGACAGGTGGCGTAAAATTTTTGTCAAAAAGTATGAGGAGTCCTGAACAAAACTTAGGATTGTGTCAAGTGGAAGTTTTGGATAAGGGTGGCCGACCTCAAGTAGTTGGAATTAATACGAGGAAAAAGAAGAAGAAGAATAGCTCAAGTCATGTGGCTATTCATCAATTCTTATGTAAAAATATAAACACAACAAATTAAAAAAAAATGAGTTATATTCTCAATGAGTTATGTTGTCAATGATAAATGATAAGTATGATACATATCGTATTGATGGTTAAGCGCAAATATTAATTAAACGCACTTTCAAAAATAAATATAATTGCCAGTAACTCTATATATGGTCATATACATAATAATATTTTTTTTGAAATTCACAACAATTTATTTAAGATTGATGTGCGACTAAAAGTACAAATAGTAATAATAACTATTGGTAAAAAAAAAATGAGGTATCATATGAGAGCATTTTTCTCTCATATTATTCTTAGAAATTATAATAAAATTTATACTTGTATGTATATTATAAATCTATGATATCATATTATTATTACATATTTTATATTAAGGAACTAAAGGAGGAATCATATTATAAGTTGACATGAGTAAGGCTTATGAAAGATTTAGGTTTAGGTTAATGAAGGATGTCAATGAATAAACTACACTTCTTCCCAAATAACGTTACTCAATTAAAATATTTATTAAATTAAAATTTAACTTATTATAAACATTTATCATATCGTAACAAAATTTTATAAAATGATTTCATAACATTTTAGTCTATCAGTTTACTACGACTTAGGAAATTTACAAAAGAGAAGACATTTTACTTTTTAATGCATTGTAAATCTATGTCGTTTCGCCTTGCTTTTTGTTTAACGCATGTCTTGGCACATCAAAAAATAATGAAACTGAAGTAAATGAAAAAAGAACTCTGATAGAAGGAAAACAAGAGGCATACTCTATCACATGTTTTCATTTATTTCCAATCAGCTGCCGTTACACACACACACACATACACACACATACACACACATATATATATATATATATACGTACATATATATCTATACACACGCGACTAAACCGCGTGAGCGCTGAAAGCAGAATTTTCCCGCGTGTACGCGCCGTGACTCTATGACGCTCAGTGCCGTTAAAAATGTTTTAGGGTGAGCAACGTGTCTCTGACAGTAGGTCAATAAATAACATTAGGAAATTCGTTTAAATTACGACTGATTTGAGAAGAATCCAAACGTAACTCGATATATTTTTCACATTGTTATGTGATATATTGTTGTAGTAATAAGCAAAATGGGGACCGATTATCTATAGGTAAGGATATTCATAGATTAACATATTTATTTTTAAATTCTTATATTTTGTAGTATTAAATAATTGATAACAGTAATAAATAATTGAAAAAGGGTTAAAATGGTCACTGTTAGAAATATTGGACATGATAAAAAAATTGTATAAGGTGGTGAAATACTATATTACTTTGAAAAAGATAATAGCAAAATGTCTTTTGTAAATTTTGTTTAATAATTAAAAACTGACCTAGTTACAAATTAGAAATACGAATTTGAATCTAAGTTTTAGAGCTGTACTTATTAATACTCAATTAGAGACTGGTATTGTCCACCATTTGGCAAAATATTTAATTGAATCGGTAAATTATGAGAAATTGTTTTAAACGTGGTTTAAAATATTAGATTTATCTTGTGATCAAATTAAAAAAAGAAAAGCTCTGAAATTGTATTGTGTGCTACTTTGCACCACTTTGACTAAAAAAGTTGTTGAGATCATCTCTACAATGTAAGTAAAGCTTTGATAATAACAAGTGAAAAATTACATTACTTTTAAAAAAATAGTACTGCGGTTTTGTCTCAGCGTGTAATTGAAAAAAAAATACCCGTGCTTTTTTATTTTACATTAGTTTTCATTTTATTGAATTAGTAAATTTCCATGAGACACTTTGAATTTCACCAACTTTATATTACTTGAACATTTTCTAAAATAAGCAAAGAAAGAGTCATGGGTAATTCGGTCAACCCGTCTAAGAGTTTATAACTTTTCACTAAGTCATATGACTTTAACACCACAATGCGTTTTAGTTATGCAGAAAAAATATTTAGTTACTCTCTTAAATTAACTGAAGGAAAAACATTTTCAAGAATCAAGTTTTTTTACAACATTTATTCTCTCAAAATGTTTTTTTTTAATTGCTACTTATAAATATGACTATGAAAATTTTTCATCTAAAACTACTTAAAATAATATGTATAAAACTAGTTTTAGGTAATATCTAAAATCAGTTTTAAATAATATCAAATTAACTTTACCGTTTTTACTTGTAACTTATGAATATTACTTTAAAATTAAAATTAAAATATTACAGAAATAGTTTTTACTAGTTTTAAGGTACCAGTTTTAGGTTTTACTATTCCAAAAGGACAAATACACACAGTGTAGCCAATGTAATGGTTTAGAGTTTAATATTTATTTCAATAACAATTTTGGGATTATACATGCAACTTTTTTTTTATTGTGATATAGAAGATTGAAATTTCATTACAAATTTATAAAACATTTAAACATACCAATCAAACTTAAATTTTCGCATCACTAATAACACTAATGACATGCATTCATGAATAAATATATAAATAATTTTTTATCAAACTCGCATCTTTTAGGCGCACTTAACTTTTCATGCGACCCAAAATGTGTCATAGAACGTATAGTTTTAGACACTACTCATAAATCAAGTTTTTTCCCTATATATATATATATAAAAAAAAAAAAAACGCTTCGATGCAAATCTGTAGATAGTGTTTAATTTTAAAAAATTGATGGATAATTGCAAAAGCAACATCAACTTCTATTAAAATAAAATACAAAACCCATAATTATCATACAAAAATAGTATATTTTTCAATATGGTAGCCATTTGCGCATAGAAGATAGATCGTCGGAACAAATTTTTTTTTTTCATTTTGTAGTACATAAAATAAGCTTTAATTTGATATATGTTTAAAGAACGCAGTAATTCCGGAATATTTTCAAAAATTAAGTTGAAAAAGTTATTTTTTGTAAAAAAGTTACTATTTTAAATCCCCCCAGTGAGCAGAATAAGTGTTAGATTTTCAAAAAAAATTATATCAAATGAAAGGGAAATATCTAAGGTTTCAATAGAAAAAAATATTATTTTTATTTGTTCATTTTTGAAAAAGTTATGGCAGTTTTAAGTACAAAAATTTTTATCGCAAACATTACATTTTTTTTAGAATTTTCCATTTTTTTT